AAATGGACCCAAGGCAATATACTCAATTAATATTTGACAAAGGTGGCAAGAGCATACAGTGGAGTAAAGACGGCCTCTTTAATAAATGGTGTTGGGAAAATTGGACAGCTACGTGCAAAAAAAATGAAACTACACCATCAACTTACACCATATACAAGAATAAACTCAAAATGGATAAAAGACTTAAATGTGACTCATGAATCCATAAAAATCCTAGAAGAAACTGTAGGCCACAAAATTTCAGACATCACATGCAACAGAATTTTCATTGATACATCACCTAAGGCAATAGAAACAAAGGAGAAAATGAACACATGGGACTACATCAAACTCAAAAGCTTCTGCACAGCCAAAGATACAATCATCAAAACAGAAAGGCTACCCACTGTATGGGAGACCATAATTGCCAATGATATATCAGATAAGGAGTTAATTTCTAATATATAGAAAGTGCTCATACAACTCCACAAAAGGAAGACAAAGAACCCAATTGAAAAATGGGCAGAGGAACTAAATAGACACCTCTCCAAAAAGGACATACAAATGGCTAGGAGACATATGAAGAAATGCTCATCATCACTAATCATCAGAGAGATGCAAATTAAAACAACAATAAGGTATCACCTCACACCTGTCAGAATGGCCTCCATCAACAAATCATCAAACAAGTGTTGTCTCGGGTGTGGAGAAAAGGGGACTTTAGTACACTGCTGGTGGGAATGCAGACTGGTGCAGCCACTATGGAAAACAGTATGGTGTTTCCTCAAAAAATTAAAAATTGAACTTCCATTTGACCCAGTGATCCTACTTCTAGGAATATACCCTAAGAAGCCTGAAACACCAGTCAGAAAGAATATATGTACCCCCATGTTTGTAGCAGCACTATTTACAATAGCTAAGATCTAGAAACAGCCCAAGTGTCCATCAGTAGACGAATGGATCAAAAAGCTGTGGTACATATACACAATGGAGTACTACGCAGCTGTAAGAAAGAAAGATTTCTTGTCCTTTGAGACTACATGCAGGGACATGGAGAGTATCATCCTGAGTGAGGCAAGCCAAACAAAGAAGGACAAGTGTCATATGATCTCACTTATTTGTGGAATATAATGAACATAACAGTCTGAGGAATGGGGTAGTCCCAGAGACGTGGAGGTGGAGTACAGACTGACAATCCCCAGAAGAGGGGATGTTGGGGGACAGATAAACCACAGAACTTAAATGCATGTATGCATGAACAGTGGACATGGACAACAAACTGGGGACAGGGCGGGGAGGGAGGAGGAGGGGGGAATCAGCGGGGGGAAAAGGAGAAATATCTGTAACAAAAATTAATTAATAAAAAAGAAATATAGCCCTGGCCGGTTTGGCTCAGCGGTTGGAGCGTCGGCCTGCGGTACAGAGAGACCCGGGTTCGGTTCCCACTAAGGGCACGTACCTCGGTTGCACTTTGTCCCCGGCCCTGGTTGGTCGTGCGGGTGGCAGCCACTCGATGTGTCCCTTCACATCGATGTTTCTCTCTCTCTCTTCCTCTCTCTCCCTCCCGCTCTATCTGAACAAAAAATAGAAAAATGTCCTCTGGTGAGGATAAAAAAAAAAAAGAAATATAAAAGTTATTAACTTTGGAATGCAGATGATAATCTTTCTTCTAAAAATCTCCTTTCCTCATTTAGATTCCCTTAAACTGCAATAATAACTAGTTTCCTAAAGGGGACAAAATGGCTGCTATAGAAATAAAAAAATAACCATAACAAAAGATTAGTTTGTCTTCCCTGAGCCCAGAATGGCTAAAAGATAAGGTAAATTTAAAGCCATTGCCTGGTTTCCAAGGATAAGCCAGTCTCATATTTTAAATTTACTACTAAAAATTACCCAAGATGACAAAGTGCACCTGCAAGTAATTCAGAGTAAATGATGGAGTTGGGGGAAGAGGGAGTTAAAAATGAATGCTACTTTACTAAGACCTAAGCAAGAATGATCCAGTGATGAACAGTATCAGTCACAGGGTTGAAAGAAATTCCCAGCACCAATAAAGCCAGAAGGACCTTTATTCTGCAGAAAGGTCCAATGCAGACCACAAAAAGGGCTATATATTACAGAAATAAATAAAATGTAACAACAAATTTCCCTTTCCCTAAGGGTTATTCTTTCTGTGATGTAAAACCATTCCTCCAAAATAAAGATAAGAGTATAATTTACAACAGATCTTTCATTATCTCCAAGATCTGCATATTGGAAGATCCTTTAGTAACATATTTTTCTTAACTACCTTGAAGAAAATCTCTTTAAAGCTTTATAGGATTATAAATTTCCTATAAAGAGAAAATAATTTAACATATGTTTAAAAAAACTAATAATAGCCCTGGCCAGTTTGGCTCAGCGGTTAGAGGGTCAGCCTGCGGTCCACAGAGACCGAGGTTTGGTTCCCGCTAAGGGCATGTACCTTGGCTGCGGTTTATCCCCGGCCCTGATTGGGTCGTGTGGGTGGCGGCCACTTGATGTGTCCCTTTCACATCGATGTTTCTCTTTCTTCCTCTCTCTCCTTCCTGCTCTATCTGAATAAAAAATGGAAAAATGTCCTTGGGTGAGGATAAAAAAATAAAAAAAAACTAATAATAATATTAGTTTTATGTTCTAATGTAGCAACTACTAACACCCACAAAGGTATGAATTATATTCTCTTCCACACTACATAAACCTCAACAATTCTGCCTCTCTTTTTTTTTTATCCTCATCTGAAGACATTTTCCCATTTTTTGTTCAGATAGGGTGGGAGGAAGAGAGAGAGAGAAACAGCGACGTAAAAGGGACACATCGAGTGGTCACCACCCGCATAACCCAACCAGGGCTGGGAACAAACTGCAACCGAGGTACACGCCGCTAGCAGAAACCGAACTTGGATCTCTCTGGATCACAGGCCACTCTAATCGCTGAGCCAAACCAGCCAGGGTTGCCTCTCATTTCTTATGTTTTTATCTGTCTCTTGCCTTGCTGTTGGCTTAAACGTGTTACTATTATCAATATCCTGGCCTGTGCCAATCTTTCTTTTTCAGTTCTAATGTTTCATAAGCAAAGGAATCACAATTCCATGTAATATAATGCTCAAGGCATTTGTCTGACAGGGTTTTAGCAAAGAAGCTTTATGAAATCTATTTTGGATATTCAGAGTTTTTTTCAGTCTACTTCCCTTCCTGTTGTCGCCATCGCTTTTCATAGGTAAAGAATTAATTCCAATTGATTTTTTAAATCAAAGACAAAGACATTAAAAATGTATATGAGGATGTAGAAAGTGCAATTGTTATCTATGAAATGACCATTGGTCTGTTATTGTAATATTTTGTAATTTTTCAAAAGGCACTTCAATGTTTTTTGTATTGTATCACAAAATAAATATATTTAAGGCTTTCTAAGATATTATTTATCTTTTTGTTTCACAGTATCTGACACATAGGAGGTGCACTGGAAAAGCTCACAACATTGAACTGATATGTTACATGGGGTCATACACGTTGCCAGTAGTTCTTGAGCTTTAATGAGAATAAAAATCACCTGGGGAACTTGTTAAAACTGCAATTTCCAGGTTTTAACCTACAGATTTTTATTGTGAGTGTGCATGTGTGTGTGCGTGTGCATGTGCATGTTTGGGGGCTGAAGTAAAGGTTGCATTTTAAACAAAACATGGCAGGTGATGATGAAAATGGTTTGTAGACAATTCTTTGGAAACATACCTTCTGCAATCAGTGGGATGTAGTAGCCAGAAATATAAAGAGAAGAATTAAGATACAAAGTGGAAAACAAGAGTTCAAAAAGCCTGGAAAATATGGGAAGGATAAAGAATTCATGAAGGTCACAGAAGTACCCGTGGCGGTGAGGAAAAGGTATGCATTAACTGGCTGAAGACAGTCAGGAAACAGCCACCAAGGACGTTAACAGTGGCACAGAAAAAAAAAAAAAAAGAGTGGCTAATGAAAAGACACAGGTTAAGAGATGCTTGGGAAATCCACAAAGTCTACTTAGCTGCATGTAGAGCTACTTCTGAATGTAAGGAGTGGACACTAACAGAAAGAACCACATATTTCTCAAAATCAAGGCAACAGTGCTTTATCTAGCAAATAAGGATCTAAGACACAGGAGTATAGGAAGATGGTGGTTGACCTGGACATTTGGGTTAGAATTATAGCCTTTTAAAACCCAGATATAATAGAAACTCAGACCTTGCTAAAGTTAAGTATTGAGGGTATACTTGTAATCATCTGCTTGTCCACGGGTTGTTTTGCTGATCTCTGCACATCATAAGACTTTTTTTTTTTTTTTTTTGAGAAAGTCTCAACACAATAGTAAAAGTACAGACACAGAAAATCCCTATCCAGGCTGGCCCAGTGCAGCTCAGTGACTTAAGTACTTAAATTCCTTTAGGGAATCATTCCTCTCCAGAACATGTTAGGTTCTCCCCACGAAAACAACTGTACCAGAGATATAGCCTTGCAGAAGGACTATTCTTTCTTAGCTCCCTGCCCAACTCTTTCTACCTCATACTCTCTTCTCTCCATTTCCCTGGCCATTGCTGCAGCTGTACAACTACCATTTTATTATCAGTTTCCCCCAAGCTCGGTGTACTATTAGCTTCTTTCAGCTTTTGACCTCATTTCTCTTCCACTCAAAGTTGAGGTACATAGTAACAATGCCCAAGCAAAGGTAGCAAGCTAGCCTCAGGAACCCCATCCTTCCATGCCTCAGAAACCCCATTCTGGTGTAATGCCAGTGCACACAGTCCACCTGGTAGGTCCCAGGTAGGCATAATCATTGAAGGTGAAATGAAATGCTTTTCTCTTGCTCCTTCCACTTCCCACTTCCCTGGGAGATAATGGTGAAGAGCTAACCTGTGTAGAAAAATTACCTGGAAGCTTTCTGTTTGAGACTTGCCATAGGCACACTTTGCCATACTTTCATAGGAGTAATTCATCTAAAACTACAAACCACTTTCAAGATAACCAACTTACCAGCATAACTTGGTTGATTAACATTTCCTCCTTTGTTAATACAATGTTGAACAAGATAAGCATCATTGAGCAGAGCAGCCTTATACAGTAAGTTCTCTCCAAAAATGTTTCTCCGGTTAATAAGAGAAAGAGATATTTTATTCATCTTCATTTTTTCTGAAATGAGGGAGGGAACAAAAGAAAACAAAAAAATATAATCCTTATTTGAAAATCAGGAGGAATACAGGTAACAACATGAATCCAGTCAACATCCTAGAATAGACGTACACTATGTTATAAAAGTGTTTCATCCATTAACCCATCTACAATATCTACATGCAATAAGGCAAAAGAGATAAATGTTATTAGCTTGAAAATATTTGTAGAAGTTATAAATCATCTGAGCAATTTGTGTTGATTGAAACCCATGAAAGGTGTATATACATATAAGAAGATGAACAGATTATTTTCTTAAAAGTTCCAGTGAAAAGATTATTTAAATCTAGAATTAAATATGATTAAACCCAAAAAATGTTATATAATACCAAAATGTCTTATAAAACCATGAAAAGAAAATCTAAAAAGTATATAAGGAAAATACAAAAATTAACCCCAGTAAGACCAAAAAAGAGAATGCTAAATTTTCTTTTTTTTGCTAAAAATAACTGTCATTAAATTAAAGAACTATGATCTTGATCTGTATAATGGTTTTGATTTCCTAAGCCAGGAAATTAAAGTGGTTTACCAGGTTATGCATACCAGGTATCATTTCTCCACTGTGCCTCATAAAAATACTGAAATTCCTCATTTAGAGACCCCAAATCCTATCAATTTTTGTGGATAATATTCATTTGGTTTCCCTGAATTTCAGAATAGCTTTCATAATACCTTTTCCAATTTTGATTTAGCTAACCTGCCCCATCCCAAAACCTGACAAAGATAATTGAGTACTGCAGCATATTTCTTAGACCACAATTTGCCTTTCATTTTAATCCTTCTACTCAGTTCCACTATAAAACAAACCAACTACTGAACATTTTAGCCTACCTTCCTCTACCCCAGCCTACAAAGCATTTTGCTCCCCACCATATAAACTGTATGCTTACCGAAAGTTGGTATACTGTCTTAACTCCCAGATCTGTCTTTGCCCGTTGTATTTGCTATTATACTTATGTAATTTATTTAAAATAAATTAAGAATATAAAATTTCAGTGAAAACTAAGTTGTGGAAGACATTTCCTTCCAGTCATGACTAAATAACTACTGTGACTTGCCCTTCCACTGTAAACAAACTTTTGATTGATGTGATAGTCTAAATAACAGTCCTCCAAAGATGTTCACATCTTAATCCCCCAAACCTGAGAATGCTACCTTATATAGCAAAAGGGATTTTGTAGATGTGGTTAAGTTATGGATCTTTGGAAAGGAAGAGGAAAGCAAGATCAAAAGGGGAGAAAGTAATGTCACCATAGAAGCAGAGACTGAACTGATGGGGCCAGAAGCAACAATCACATGAAATGTGAATGGTCAAGACACTCCCAAGGCAGAGATTGTCAGTGTCTACTTCTTTCCTCTTTATGTTACTGTCACAAATTTTACTTTTATGTGTTAAAAACCTCATAAACCATTGTTATTTTTGTTTAAGTAGTCAAATTTCCTTTAGAATTGATCAATAAGAAAATGTATATTTTTATCCATATAGTTACCATTTCCAATGATCCTCATTCCTTTGTATAGATTCATATTTCTATCGAGTATCATCTTTCTTCTGCCTGAAGAATGTCCTTTATCATTTCCTACAGTATGGGTCTTGCTGGTGATGAGTTCTAGCTTTTGTATGTCTGAAACTTTATTTCACCTTCATTTTTGAAAGATATATTTCTGGGCATAGAATTCTAGGTTATAGTTACAGAACTCTAGGAATAAAATTTCTTTTAGAACTTTGAAGCCGCTACTCCACTGTCTTCTTGCTTGCATTGTTTCCAACAAGAAATTTGATGTCATCCTTATCTCTATTCTTCTGTACATGCCTTTTTTCCTTATCAGCACATATATATCACATATATATTCTAATTTCTTAAATGCCCGAATATTATCTCATTGGTTATATTATAATTTATTAACTATTCACCTAGATTAGATTGTTTCTAGTTATTACAATAAACAAGGTTGTGATGAACATCATTATAAAAGTATCTTTACATACCTAAGCAAGCATAGTTATGGAATAAATCACTTTAAGTAGAATTGCTGATTCAAAATAATTGTGACTTAAAATTGTGATGAATGTAAACAAACTTCCCTGTAAAAAAACGGAACAAACTTAAACTATTCCTGATAACATATGAGAATGTTTACTTTTTCCACATTCTCACCACTGGGAAGTCTCAAATGTTTAAATGTGTGGCATTCTCTTACGTGAAAATTATACTTCTTAATTTATATGTCTTTAATCATGAGTGAGATGTTAATCTTTTTCATTATTTATGTTTTTTTCTGTGAACTACTTGTTCATATCCCTTACCATTTTTCTTTATCCTTTATCCTTACTGTTTTGTAAGAGCTCTTTGCATGCTGATGAAATTAACCCCTAGTCATGTATTACTAATACATGACTGCTGTGTTTGATGTTTTGTTTTCCTTAGGGTATTTTTCCATAACAATTTGTTTTAAATGTATGTAGTAAATTCTGTCATTCCTTTCTCTCCTGGCTTCTGGGTTTGAATCACTTTGTTAAAAAAGTCTTCTTGCCCTGGCCGGTTTAGCTCAGGGGTTAGAGTGTCAGCCTGTGGTCCAGAGAGACCCAGGTTCCTTTCCCGCTAAGGGCATATACCTCAGTTGCAGTTTGTCCCTGGCCCTGGTTGGTTGTGCGGGTAGCAGCCACTCAATGTGTCCTTTCATGTTGATGTTTCTCTCTCTTTCTCTTCCTCTCTCTCCCTCCCACTCTATCTGAACAAAAAATGGAAAAATGTCCTCGGGTGAGGATTAAAAAATAAAAGTCTTCTACTCTAAGATTACGAAGAGATTAACTTATGTTTTGTTCTAGAATTTTTTCTTTTCTTTTAAATCTTTGGCTAAATTAAAACTAAATTTAGTATATGAAATGTTATACGGATCCAATTTTGGCTGTGTTTTTCACTATTTAGTGCTTAGTCCTTTTTACCACCAATTTGAGATGCCATCTTAATCACATACCTGCTCCCATACTCCCCCTGTATCTGGCTTCTACACCTACACTTTTTATTCGGTTTCATTGATTTGTCTGTCTAGTCCTGTGCCAGTACCAAATTACTTTAGTTTCTGACTTCCTAATTGATTTCATATTACATAAAGCAGATTCCTGCACGATTCTCCTTTGCTTTTATTTTTCAGAATTGTCTTGGTTAGTTTTTCATATTTACTTTTCCAGCTGAAATTTAGTATCATATAACATTCTCATTGCTAACCTCCAGCCCTTTAAAGCAAAATAAAATAAAACAAAATAATTAACAAATAAAAATCTGTTTTTAATTGAGCTCTCACACATTCATAGAATAATTTAGGGAGAAGTAAGTTTCTTACAACACTGAATCTTTATTGTCAAGAACAAGATTTTTCTTTCCATTTATTCAATGTTTATGTCCCTCAGCATAATTTTAAACTCTATTCTTACAGGTATCGCACATTTCTTATTAAGTATATAAGTAGATATTTTTCTCTCTTTGTAACTATTATAAATGGGATGTTCTATTTTCTAACTGGGTAATCTTTTATATATGAAAGGTAGTTAGTCTTCTTTTGGTTTATTGAATTTTTAAAAACTTTCTATTTGGAAATAATTTCAGACTTACAAAAAATTGTAAAAATAGAACAAAGGATCCACCCATTAATATTTTGCCACTACTTTTAAATCATTCTATTGCTTTCTCTCTCTCTCCACACACACACACACACACACACACGTACATAAAGAGTAACTTGCATACACCATTCCCCATTACTCACGAACACTTAAGTGTATATTTTCCAAAAACAAGGATATTCTTTTACACAAACAAATTATTATTAAACTCAGGGGAACTTAACACTAATAAAATATTATTATTTAATCTACAGTCCATATTTCAATTTTATCAACTGCCCCACTATCTATTGTTTTTTATTTTTTTGTTAATCCTCACCTGCAGATATTTTTCCATTTATTTTTTAGATAGAGTGGAAGGGAGGGAGAGAGAGAAACAGAAACATTGATGTGAGAGAGACACATCAATTGTTTGCCTCCCACACAACCCCGACAGGGGCAAAGGATTGAACCTACAACCCAGATATGTATGTGCCCTTGACCAGAAATTGAACCCGAGAACCTGCACCGTGGGCCGACACTCTAACTGCTGAGCCAAACAGGCCAGGGCTTTATTATTATTATTATTTTTTTAATTTATTTTTTTAAATCTTCACCCGAGAATATTTTTCCATTGATTTTCAGATAGAGTGGAAGGGAGGGATAGGAGGAGAAGGAGAGAGGTGAGAGAAACATCGATGTGAGAGAGACACATTGACTGATTGCCTCCCGTACAACCCTGACCGGGGCTGGGGATCAAACCTGCAACCCAGGTAAATACCCTTGACTGAGAATCAAACCCATGACTATTTGGTCCATGGGCTGATGCTCTAACCACTGAGAAAACAGGTCTATTGTTTTTTCTTATCCTCACCCAAGGACACTTTTCCATTTTTTTTTTTTGTTCAGATAGATTGGGAAGGAGAGAAAGAGAGAGACAGAAACATCGACGTGAAAGGGACACATCAAGTGGCTGCCACCCGCACGACCAACCAGGGTCAGGGACAAACTGCAACTGAGGTACACGCCCTTAGTGGGAACCGAACCTGGGTCTCTCTGGACTGCAGGCTGATGCTCTAACCACTGGGCGAAACTGGCCAGGGCTGGTCTATTGTTTTTTAACCAATCTTTCTAGATTTTTTTTTCTTTATTGATTTGAGACAGAGAAGAAGGGAAAGGGAGAGAGAAATAGAAACATCAATGAGAGAGAACATCAATTAGCCGCCTCCTGCATGCCCCACACTGGGGATTTGGCCCACAACCTGGGCATGTGCCCTGACCAGGAATCAAACCTGAAACCTTTTGGTGTATGGAATCACACTTCAACCAACTGAGCCACCTGGCCAGGGCTTCTTTTAATAGTTTTTTTAGTTTATTTCTCGAGGTTTTATAGCAATATAGAAATAACATCTAAGACTAAATTTTGCCTTCTCCTTTCCTCCATTTATTCCTCTTGATATGATTTCTCAAAGCCTTATGCTAGGCTGGACACACTACAAATAGGTCAGACATCTAAATTTTAAAAGGGTTCTATAGCCCTGGCTGGTCTGGCTCAGCGGTTAGAGTATCAGCTTGCAGTCCAAAGACCCGGGTTCAGTGTCCGCTAAGGGCACGTGCCTCGGTTGCAGTTTGTCCCAGGCCCTGGTTGGGTTGTGCAGGTGGCAACCACTCGATGTGTCCCTTTCACGTGATGTTTTTCTCTCTCTCCCTCCCACTCTATCTGAACAAAAAATGGAAAAATGTCCTCGGGTGAGGATTAAAAAAAAAGGGGGGAGGGTTCTATAACTATTCTCTCCAAAGTACACATATAGGAAAAATACCAGCCTATGAGCCACAAGTTCGGGGTCAAGTCCTAGTTATGCTACTGATGAGCTATGCAATGCTGGGAAAAATTCTTAACCTCCTTGAATTTCCTCATCAAAAAATTGAGAAAGTTGAGATAGATAATCTCTAAATCCCTTTTAGTACCAGAATTCTGTTTCTGTAAGTTATTTACTTAAAGAAATAAAATATGACTCACCATTTTGTCTTGTAATTTTTTCTGTCTTCCAGATTTGTTCTCCACTCTTCAGCCTGGATGAATGCATAGTCTTCCTTTTACCTTTAATTATTAAAGCAGGACCCTGCATTCTTGAAAAATAAATGTGTTTTAACAATTGCTCTAATGTTCTCTACAACCATTCACAGAGAGTCATACAAAATTTTGACTGAATTTTTAAAACTCAAAGGTATTTTACTGAGCTGTTGTCAAGCAGCACAACAGTTTTAAATATGGAGATGTCTCCTGAGTAAACTGCAGATAAATTTGTGACGGGTATGCTAGTCATTATGGTTTCGAGACTTTTCTTTGTGCCACCTGTGTGTTTCTCTCCTTTAGGGGAAGTCAGCTACAAACGTATTATGAGTATCTTGTCCCTCACTCTCCAAGCTGACATGCAACTATCTACTCTATTTACCTTTTAGCAGCAGTTCTCAACCTGTGGGTCACAACCCCTTTGGGGGCCGAATGACCCTTTCACAGGGGTCGCCTAAGACCATCAGAAAACAAAATTAGTTATAAAGTAGCAACAAAAATAATTTTATAGTTGGGGGTTACCACAATATGAGGAACTGTATTAAAGGGTTGCGACATTAAAAATGTTGAGACCCACTGCCTTCTAGGGAAAAAGAGGCAGGCTCTTTGCAAGGAAAAAGTACTCGCCATGTGGTACAGCAATGATCAAAACCTGCAAAATATTGGCATAAAAAAGACATACAGATCATATGAACAGAATAGAGCTCAGAAATAAACCTATGCATATATGGTCAATGAATTTACAACAAAGGAGCCAAGAATATAAAGTGGAAAAAGGATAGTCTCTTCAACAAATGGTACTGGGAAAACTGGACAGCCACATGCCAAAGAATGAACCTCAATCATGATCCTACACTTTACATAAAAATAAACTCAAAATGAACTAAAGATTTGAGGGTGAGACCTAAAACCGTAAAACTCAGAGGAAGAAACATAGGGGTAAGCACTTTCACACTGGTGTTGGTAATGATATTTTTGGATTTTACACCAAAAGCAAAGGCAAGAAAACAAGTGGAACTTCAACAAACTAAAAACCTTCAGCAGAGCAAAGGAAACCATCAACAAAATGAAAAAGCAACCTACTGAATGGAAGAAAATATTTGCAAATCATACATCTGATAAGGGGTTAAAATCCAAAATATATAAAGAATACATACAACTCAATAGCAAATAAAAAATATAATTAAGCCCTGGCCGGTTTGGCTCAGCGGTTAGAGCGTCGACCTGCGGTCCTGAGAGACCTGGGTTCGGTTTCCGCTAAGGGCGCGTACCTCGGTTGCAGTTTGTCCCCAGCCCTGGTCGGTCGTGCGGGTGGCAGCCACTCGATGTGTTCCTTTCACATCGATGTTTCTCTCTCTCTCTGTTCCTCTCTCTCCCTCCCACTCTACCTGAACAAAAAAAAAAAAAGACATCCAAATGGCCAAAGGATATACATGAAGTGCATGAAAAGGTGCTCAACATCACTACCTATCAAGGAAATGCAAATCAAAACCACAATGAGGCCCTGGCCGGTTTGGCTTAGTGGTTGGAGCATCGGCCTGCGGACCAGAGAGTCCTGGGTTCGGTTCCTGCTAGGGGCATGTACCTAAATAAATAAATAAATAAATAAATAAATAAATAACCACAATGAGGTAACACCTTACACTTGTTGAATAGCTATTATCAAAAAGACAAGAAATAGCAAGTGTTGGTGAATATGTAGAAAAGGGAACCCTTGTGCACTGTTGTTGGGAATAGGTGCAGCCACTATGGAAAACAGTTTGGAGGTTCCTCAAAAAAATTAAAAATGAAACTACCAGATGATTCAGCAATTCCACTTCTGGGTATTTATCCAAAGAAAACAAAATTACTATCTTGAAAAGTTAGCTGCACCTCCATGTCCAATGCAGCATTATTTACAATAGCCAAGACATGAAAATAATCAATACTGATGGTGAATGGATAAAGAAAATGTGATACACATACCCACAAAATGGAATATTTTTCAGCCATAGGAAGGGAAAAAATCCTGCCATTTTTTACAACATGGATGGACCTTGAGGGTATTATGTTAACTGAAAAAAGTCAGAGAAAAATAGATAATGTTTGATCTCCTTATATGTGAAATCTTTAAAAAAAAAAAAAAAAGCCCAACTCTTAGATACAAAGAACAGATTGGTGGCTGCCAGAAGTAGGTGGGTAAAATGGGTACAAACTTCCAGTTATAAGATAAATAAATCCTTGTATATGGTGACAAATGGCAGTGGTTTCATTCTTTTGCATGTTGCTTTCCAATTTTCCCAGCATTCTTTATTAAAGAGGCTTTATTTTCTCCACTGTATGTTTTTGGCTTCTTTGTCAAAAATTATTTGTTCATATAGTAGGTTTATTTCTGGGCTCTTAATTCTGTTCCATTGGTCCACATGTGTTTTTCTGCCAATACCATGGTTTTGATTAGTGTATCTTTGTAGTGTAATTTGAAGTCAGGAAGTGTGATACCTCTGGCTTTGTTCTTTTTTCTCGAAATTGCTTTGGCTATTTGGGGTCTTTTGTGGTTCCATACAAATCTGATTATTATTATTATTTTTTTGGTCTATTTCTTTAAAAAGTGCCATTGCAATTTTGATGGGGATTGAATTAAATCTGTATATTGCTTTGGGTGATATGGCCATTTTAACTATGTCGATTCTTCCAATGCATGAACACAGAGTATCTGTCCATTTCTTTGTGTCTTCTTTAATTTCATTTAATAATGTCTTGTAGTTTCCAGTGTGTAGGTCTTTCACATCCTTTGTTAAGGTTATTCCTATGTATTTTATTATTTTTGTTGCAATTGCAAAAAAACTGTTGTTTTTTTTTTTTACTTCTTTTTCAGAAATTTTGTTGTTAGTATATAGGAATGCAATAGATTTTAGTACATCAATTTTGTATTTTGCAACTTTACTGTATTTGTTTATTGTTTCTTTGTCACCATATACAAAAAAATTAACCCAGAATGGCTCAAAGAGATAAATATAAGATAAGAAACAATAAATTACATAGAAGAAAACATACGTACTAAACTTATGGACCTTGGTCTTAGAGAGGATTTTATGAATTTGACCTCAAAGACAAAGGAAGGAAGTAAAGCAAAAATAAATGAATAGGACTACATAACACTAAAAAGCTTCTACACAGCAAAAGAAACCACCAACAAAACAAAAAGGCAACCAACCGAATGGAAAAAGATATTTGCAAACAACACCTCCGATAGGGTTTAATATTCAAATAATATCAAGAACTCATAAAATTTCAACAACAAAAAACAAACAATCCAATTAAGAAATGGGCAGAGGACCTGAACAGACACTTCTACCAAGAAGACATACAAATGGCCAACAGATACATGAAAAGATGCTCAACTTTACCAGCTATTAGAGATACACAAATCCAAAGCAAAATGAGATATCACTTTACACCTGTTAGAATGGCTATTATCATTAAAACAAGTAATAATGCGTGTCGGAGAATTTGTGGTGATTAAGGAACCTTCATTCACTGCTGGTGGAAATGTAAACTAGTACAGCCACTCTGCAGAACAGTATGGAGGTTCCTCAAAAAATTAAGAATAGAGTTACCATATGTCCCAGCAACCCCTCTTCTATATATCTACCTGAAAAATTTGAAAATATTTATTCACAAACATATATGCACCCCTATACTCACTGCAGAATTATTCATGGTGACCAAGATATGGAAACAACTGAAGTGTTCTTTGATAGAGGATTGGATAAAGAAGATGTGGCACATATATACAATGGAATACTACTCAGCCATAAGAAGAAATGAAATACTACCATCTGCAACAACATGGATGGGTCATGAGAATATCATGCTAAGCAAAATAAATTCAGACAGAAAAGTTAAGAACCATATGATTTCACTCATATGTGGGATATAAAACTGAAAGCAACAAATGAACAAACAAGAAAAGCTATCAAACAAAAACTCATAGGCACAGACAACAGTATGGTGGCTACCAGAGGGAAGAGGAATGGGGGCTGTGGGTAGTAAAAGGTAAAAGGGGTCAAATATATGGTGACAGAAGGAGATCTGACTTTGGGTGGTAAACACACAATGCAATACATAGATGATGTATTATAGAACTGCACACTTGAAACCTATATAATTTTATTAAGTAATGTCACCCCAATAAATTTAACTAAAAAAAATTTTTTTTTTTTTTATCCTCACCCGAGGATATTTTTCCATTTTCTGTACAGATAGAGTGGGGGGGAGAGAGAGAGAAACATCGATGTGAAGGGACACATCGAGTGGCTGCCACCCACACGACGAACCAGGGCCGGGGACAAACTGCAACCGAAGTATGTGCCCTTAGCGGGAACCGAACGCGGGTCTCTCCGGACCGCAGGCCGACGCTCTAACCGCTGAGCCAAACCAGCCAGGGCTTAACTAAAAATTTTTTAAAAGGTAAATAAGTCCTTTTAAATGATATAATGTACAGCCTGATGACTATAGCTAACAATACTGTATTGTATATTTGAAAGTTTCTAAGAAAGGAATTCTTAAAAGTTCTCATCACAAATAAAAAAAATTGTAGCCCTGGCCAGTTTGGCTCAGCGGCACAGCGCCAGCCCACAGACCAAAGAGTCGTGGGTTCGATTCTGGTCAAGGGGACATACTTTGGTTACAGTTCATCCCCAGGCCTGGTTGGGATTGTGCAGAGGCTACCAGTCCATGTATCCCTCTCACGTAGATGTTTCTCTCTCTCTCCTTCCCTCCCTCCCGCCCACTCTATCTGAAGATAAATAGAAAAATATCCTCAGGTGAGGATTAAAAAAAAAAAGTGTAACTGTGTGGTGATAGATATTATCTAAAACCTATTTTTAAAAAAGAAAGAAAATTGGTGTTAGGCTGAAATACCACAAATCTCTATTACTTTGTCTGAAAAATAAATAAGTAAAAGAGATTTCTAGCTTAAAAACAGCAAATACAAAATAAAAATTTAACAACACTAAAAAATAAAGTTCTTTACTTAGGGATAACGATACACTGACTCTAATGTCCCAAGCATAGAATTATCTATAAGGTCTGTAGAATACCTGAGTAGAAAAATATAATTCTGTAGCATACCTGAAAGTCTCCGTTGAAGAGATATTATTTGTTTGATTCTCACAGCCAAGTATTGTAGGTAAAATTTTTTCTGGTATCTTATACATGTCATCTGTGTGCTTTATATATCTGCCTATTTTCATTCTGGATGATCTTCTTAATACAGATGGGAGGTCCTGGTCAGAGCTATTTTCCACTGAATTTGAATTTCTCTTATTATTTAGTGGATCACAAGAGATCACATTTTGATAAACCGATGTCTGCAATCCAAATGGATTTGTATCTTCTAGAGTCTGTAATATAAATAAATACACAATAATTACCACAATACAAAAAATATTAAAACTAGGAGAAATTGAGTTTTATCTTGTCCTTTGATTACATGAAAATGTCTCTTACAAGATGAAAGTATTAGAACCCAGATATATGTGAACATAATAAAAAAAATTACATAATTAATATAAAAGACAATGCATATTTTAAAGCTAAGTCAAGAAGAACATAAGTAAAATTTATTTATATCAATATTCATCCTTAAAATTCAACAGCAAACCTGAAGTCACTCTAGGCACTTTAATTTCATGGAAAATGGGTAGCACAGAATGATGAGAGAAATATAAAAAGTAGACCTGTCACACTAGGCCAGATCTATGTTCTATTCAGCCTAGTATTTTGTTATTTGACAGCAACAGTAAATGACATTTTGTGGAACAAGGTAGTACATAACCTCCATTACATTACTTATAAAAGGTTAACAATGTATTATAAATAGCTCTAACTTCCCCTTAATAATCCATAATAGATTTAACTTTTATGATAATATATTTTTTATAAATATCATGTAAAGCTTTCTTGAATTATTTATATACCCAGTTTTCAAAGCTTCTCAAGGTAACAAGGTCCATATTTTTATTATAGTTGTGTAAAAGAGTAATTAATTTGATTTGTTCTAAATCAACCTTCTAATTTGATTTTTGAGTGATATGTTTTAATCATGGTTTCTTTTAACAATAAGTTAATAATTTTCATTGGTAATACTTTATATGTTGATTATAATTATTAAATATAATATTCAATAAACAAGTAATAATCAACAATAATTATTTAATGTCATTGGGGCAAAACTCTTTGCACAAAGAGGCTTTATCTATTCGAAAGAAAATTATCAAACTCTTCTTTCTACTTTTAAAAAAGTTTTTTTCTCATGCCCTGGCTGGTTTGGCTCAGCAGTTAGAGCATCACCTGTGGACTGAAGGGTTGCAGATTCAATTCTGCAACCTGAGTTGCAGGTTCCGTCCCGGCCCCAGTTGAGGTCATGTGAGATACAACCAATCGATGTTTCTCTCTCTCTCTCTCCCTCCCTCCCTTCCATTCTATCTGAAAAATCAATGGAAAAATATCCTCCAGTGAGGATTAACAAACAAACAAAAAAAAGTATTTTTCTTGAAGACTTGCTAAGTTCATGTCTATCAATACCAATCATAATTTCCTACACTTTATTCATATTACCTCATTTCAGATTAGAATACTCAAACATTTTAATTAAATCTTCATGACCTATTCCTGTGATTAGTTTCTCTTTTTCTGATTATTTTTAGTCCTGTTGTGTCTATTTTGAGATTTTTTTAAAACCAGAATTACATGTGGAAGTATTATTCTAGGTGTGTATGTTGCAATATGACTTTAGTATCATGTTTTTTAAATCTTCCCAGTGATGTTCATAGGAGCATTTGGGTAATAGCCAAAAGGAAAAAAGGAAAGAAAAAGAATACAAATAACCATAATTAGTGAGTGGGTCAAATAAATTACACACACACATACACACACACACACACACACACACACACACACGTCTATACAGTAGAATAACATGCAAGTAAAAATATTTAAGTTGTACTAAATTTGCTGATAGAGATAACCAATGTTATTAAATTTATAAAACAAGTTATATGTTCACATTATATGTATTTTAGTCCCATTTACATAAAATAAAATTACATAGAATATGCATAGAAATAATTAGAGAAAGAGATACACCAAACTTTTAAGAAATAAACCAAACTTTCCAGTGATTATCTCTGGAAAATAGAATTGTGGGAGACTATATTATTATGTTTTGCTGTAATATTTAAATTTTGTATAGTGAGAATATATTACTATTTTAATCAAGAAAACAATAAAAAAATTTTTAATTGTCAATATGAAATAGGGACTTGGTAATTGGTAGGCCGCTTCAGGGTCTCTAGGCATGATACTGTAGGAACTGTGCCACCTGGCAGTATCCTCAAACACAGAAAGAAAAGTTCTCCTGAAGCTAGGCATAATTTTTCTCTCTCCCAGCACCCCAACTACATATACTCTACATCCAACCAGAAATTAATGTGGGGTAGATATTTCATCTCTACTCTGTACCCAGAAAGACTTAATGACTTTCCAAGCTAATGGGGAAATTTCTGGTAAAGAATTCTTTCTTTCCTGTATATAAGCAATCTAATGATATGTCTTCACATGTCTTCTGGGAGAAACTTATTTATTTTAACTTTTACCCTCCTTAAAAACTCTACCCCAGGAACCTCTAAAAGGATCACTGTATGCTTCAAGTCAAAAAAGTATTTTTGAGTGTTGATATTTGTGGTGTGAAATGAAAATAAAGTATACGGACAATGAAGACTTGTTAAAGGTCACTATAAATGGCAAAATCATAGACTAATACTTGCACTTACTTGCTGCACCGAAAGATGCTTGTCCTGCAGCTCAGCTAACTTGGAATCTTGTTCAAATGGTGGAGTAGAACAAAGAGACTCAAAATTCACCTCTGCTATTTGTGTACAATCTTCATCAGTTTGAAACATGTTGGGCTCTTTTCCTAAACATTCATTTCCAGCACTGAGACTGCTGCCTCCCTCGTTTCTGTGACCGATGAGTCCCACGTTGGCTTCTGACAATGTGTTTAGGGCTTCTAACAACTCAGCTGGCAATGCATCATCCTTTGTGTTTTCTAGTAAATCTCCATGATATGTCAAAGGTATTGATATGGAATTTGGAGAGTTGCTCAATGGGTTCATCAACTGTCTAGGTTCAAAATCACTCATTGTTTCAAACAATGCTTCCTCTTGGGTGTTTTCTGGTGATGTTAATAACTTTTCTAAGGCAGACACAAAGGTTTCAAGAGAGCTTTCTTCATCTTTGGTTTCTTCAGAAGTCATGGTCAATGTGACTTCCTTTCCAGACTCAGAAGATGCATTTGGTGCTGCTAAGATCTTCTGTGGCTCTATTAATGATTTCTCCTTTACAGAAACCATATCAGCAGTACCTGAGAGAAGGCTAATTTCAGGAGAATCTCTGTCTGCATTCAGTTCCTATGTATTTCAAAAAAAATTCCATCAGTACAGCATATACAAAAAAGTGTTTAAAATTAAAACTTTATCATTTTTATCACATCAGTAAGTTATTGCCAAAAAGTTTTCACCAATTTTCCTCCCCTTCTATAAATAAAAATAGTCTTTATTACTTTCCAATATCAAATCACTAATGACTCTGAACAAATGACTAAACATACAACAGTGGACCAAGGGTAAAATTGGCAGGACCATAATTACAGATGGCAAATTATCTGTTAAGCTAAGTTTAAATTAACCATGCTAACAGAAGAAGCAGAGATGGCATGGATAGTTAGGATGATCTCAAAACTCAGTGAGTTAATGGTTGTCAAAAACTTTGTCAAAAAACCTATTGAATTTAGCTCTGACCAGTGTTGCTCAGTGGTTAGAGTGTCGGCCCGTGCACCAAATTGTCTCAGGTTCTATTCCTGGTCAAGCGCACATATCTGGGTTGCAGGTTTGATCCTTGGCCCCGGTTGGGGTTGTGCGGGAGGCAACCAATTGATATATCTCTCTTAATCAATGTTTCTCTCTCTCTCTCTCTCTCTCTCTCTACCGTTTCCCATCCACTTTCTCTAAAAATTGACGGATAAAATATCCTCAGGTGAGGATTAACAACAACAAAAATCTACTCAATTTCATAAACATTATAAAATCAGTATAGTTTCATCTTTTTATTTCTCACTTTTGTATGAATATGTAAATGTGAAGTAAAAAACATCAAAAGACAGGAGGTCAAAGGGGAAAAAAAGCAGAAATGAGGACACAGTTCTATGTAAATATTATGAGCCCTGGTTATAAACAAACAATCCTGGATTATGTTGTTGTTTTTTTTTAAACAAAAAACACAAAACTTATTATATCTAAATGTCTATTTTTCAAAGAAATCATCTTAATAGGTTATACCTGTTCTCACAATAGTTCTAATGTTCAAAATATTATTACACTTACTCTTTTTTGTTGTTTTTTGGTTAATTCTCACCCAAGGATATTTTTCCGCTGATTTTTAGATAGAGTGGAAGGAAAGGAGGAAAGGAGAGAGAGAGAGAGAGAGAGAGAGAGAGAAACATCCATGCGAGAGAGATACATTGATTGGTTGCCTCCTGCATGACCCTGACCAGGGCTGAGGATCGAACCTTCAACCCAGGTACATGCCCTTGTCCAGGAATTGAACCTGTGACCCTTCCGTCCTCGGGTGGATGCTCCAACCGCTGTGCCAAACCAGCCAGAGCTAGACTTCCTCTTTTGAAAGTACTTTCAAATATCTGTACAAGCCACTCAAGAAAACCAGTCTCAATATTTTAAAGGCACTAAATTTCTTTTCAACATTAAAAACTGTTTATTTGCTTGACCTTACATAACAGAATGGGTTTCAATAACTTTTGGCTGTTCCTAAAAATCAAATCCACCTTCCATTGACACACTACTCTGATAGAATGTACTGTAAATTGTAAGCCCTCTAATATTCCTATTTGATTTGAATAAGAAAAGTGAAAACTATTTTATTTTCCCTCTCCTCCTTTTCTACCTGCGACCATTTATCTTCACTGTATATAACACAAAAAGCTTAAGAAGATATATTGTTTAGCAGTAATACAAACTATAAATTTCTTTGAAAGACAAAAGGAATTTAGAAGGAATTCAAAAACCAAATTCTATCTATTCTTTAAGTCACAGTTCAAGGTCTCCCTTCTATTTGAACTCCTTATAGATACTAAAGTCAAGGCCATAGATGTAATAAAGTATATATATTTGACACTGCTATAAAATAATTTAATTTTTAACTGAAGATTGAAAGCATAAATATATAAGACTTTAAATAAATATAAATAATGTCAAAAACACTGTATGAACTCAAATGAATGGCATAAACCATAGAGCCTAATGTGTTATAAGACAGTTTTCAGGGGTTGGGGGTGAGTCTGTAGTAAACTTTTATGATTGCTTTAAAAATGCTTGGTTAAACAAAGTTAAACAGGTTTTTTTATCGCAAGAATTTTCATAACGTGTGCATTATAAATCTGAGACTTTAGGATACAGTGTTTTCCTAAACCTCTGTTCAAAAAACTTCTTTTTCTAGAAAGATCTATTAATATTATAGGATGCAAGTGACTGGGAAGTACTGATATAGTCAGTGAATAATGAATGCTAAAGAGAAAGCAATTTGGTCAAGATCACCAGAATTACCTGAGCAGAGCCACAGAGGAAAAGGGACTTGAGCCAGAAATCAAAGGTTTGTGAAGGAGTGAAACAAGGGGGAAACATGTGTTTATTAAGCAGCAACTATCATTGCTCTCAGTCCTCACTATAATCTTGTGAAATGGATATGACTAGTGGTATTTTCAACATGTAAATGACACACCTACCCTTGGAATGCACACCTAACTGGCTCCAAATTTTATGCTCTTTCCCTTGCCTTCTGGTTCCTGACCTGAACTAAGTCAATGAGCCAGGAATGTGTAAGGTACAGCTGAGAGGAAGTAAGGTATAGGTATAATAGTGTTGACCTGGGGAGATCCTCAATTACATAAGTTCGTTGTAGGCAGAGACAGTTTCACAGTTCTCTGATTCCCCACAGCACCAAGAAGAAAAGCAAAGCCAAAACAAGCACTCAATACATGGTTACTGATTAGTAACTGAAAAATGGGAACGCAGTATTTACAAGGAAATATTAAAGAAAACTAGGGTAGCAGACAAACCAACAGAAGGCATTTCTGTTACATCATCTCAGCAACTAGTTTTATAAGTTACATGTTTCTCCTCTAGATAAAGAATAAAAGACTTACAGTGCTGGATAAGAAACACAGTCAAGAAAATATGACTCCATTAGAAATAAAGAAGAATAAATACTGGAAGGGGTTGTTAGACAAAAATAGATTTCTACATACTGAAATGTTTTAGTCATATTCCTGCCTGGGGGAAGAGTCTAAATGAGCTTGAGACTTCGCCAACATAATTTTAAAAACATATATATATAAACCTGTGATCTACATAGCTAATCTCAGTTATATAGACCAACCTTTTCTGGGTGTGGCAAAACTTCAGGATTTTCAGCCTTAGGCCCTAGAAGATAACAACATATGTTTACATTCCAGTTTTATTAAGCATTAAAAACATACATACTCTCTCCCTTGGTATTTCTTTTTTTTTTTTTTATCCTCACCCAAGGACATTTTTATTTATTTATTTTTGCATTTATCTTCAGATAGAGCAAGAGGAAAAGAGAGAGAGAAAAACATTGATGTGAAAGAAACACATCAACTGGCTGCCACCCACACGACCCCAACCGGGGCCAGGGACAAACTGCAACCAAGGTACGTGCCCTTAGCGGGAACTGAACCCAGGACTCTCTGCTCTGCAGGCCGATGCTCTACCCATTGAGCCAAACCGGCCAGGGCTCCCTTGGTATTTCTTAATCATATGACTTGACTCCCTCAAACATTCATGTAACATTTCAAATGTTTCATAAATATTCTACCAATTTGATATAAATGTATCATTATGTTGGCAATAAAGTTTATAAAAGAAAATTTTGCCATTTCTTAAAAAGAAATTGACTAGAAGCCAAGTAAAATTACAATTATTTGGAATTAGTTTAGCTAAAAGCCAACCTTTCTATTTTGGCTGAATTATCCTACGTGTTTATAACTACATGAGGAAAAATCATATCTACTTTCGCAGTGTTATCTCCTCCATTATAAGGAATAAAATTTAAATGAATTCATGCTGTTGAGTTAAGCATGAAAAGGAATGCCCCATGTAGGAGCCAAAAAAATCCGAGATTGTTCTAAATGTGACTTTTCCTTCACCATCGACTCACCTGGCCTCCACCGCTGAGGTGAGCTGGCTGACATAAATTCACACCAAATTAAGGAGAATCAAGAAAAAAGATATTTCTTCTACCCCATTCCTCTTGTCTCCTACTTTCACCATCAAGGACCTGGCACTCTGACATACTTAGGGATCACTGGCAGGTTTGAATCATTATTTTGGTTTCTTTTGATTAGGCAATATCTAGGCCTAGAGTATAAGCAAGTAATTATCTGCTGAACCTCACAATGCATCCTCACAAGCAAGACAGGTGTTTCAGAGGAAAAAAATAAGCATACTGAGCTTATATGCTTACTGAGCTTTATATCCTGCAAAAACCTATTCTTATTATTTTTTGTTTCACCTTTGCCATTTGATGATGAAAAGCTACGAAAATCAGCTAGAAAGATTAATATCATGGTATTTCAGTCCCTCACAGAATGATGAGCAAAAAGTAATAAGAATAAATCATTTCTTATCCTTGCATTAGAGTCCTTTCCGCCAAGCAATAATGATACATTACACTATCTATATCTTGTTTAAAATTTTATATATCTAGTTGCTTAAAATTAATACCAATAAAGAAATATTTTAAAATAATAGATACATCTTCAATCATCTTTGCAAAGAGATTTTTGTTTTTAATAAACTCAGATCCTTGAGGGGTTAAAGTTCAAAAAGAGAGAATACAAGTTCATCCTCTTCCTCCTTCTCTGAACTGTAAAGAAAGAACCTCAAAATCATCTTCTATGTTGTTTTTAACCACCTCAACATAAAAATGATCATTCTTTTATGACAATAGTTACTATTTTTAAAACTTGAGAAATTAACATGATAAAGTATATTATGGTAATTTGATTACTATATTTAAAAACATATTTTGAAAGAAATTCTCATTTTCTGGCTATGAAATTTACTTAAAACAGTTTTTACAAATTAGAAAATGTATTTTTCTTGAATTGTCGTCTCTCCTTTAATAAATTATTATTATTTTTATCCTCACCTGAGGACATTTTTGCATTTATCTTCAGATAGAGTGGGAAGGAGAGAGGAAGAGGGAGAGAGAAACATTGATGCGAGAGACACATCGAGTGGCTGACACCCGCACAACCCCAACCGGAGCTGAGAACAAACTACAACAGAGGTATGAGCCCTTAGGGGGAACCGAACCCAGGACTCTCCGGTTCGTGGGCCGACGCTCTAACCTCTAAGCCAAACCGGACAGGGCTTAATAACTTATTAAAAGATTTTATACATTTTCTACTTACCACTTGAAAGAAATAAAATGTAATGTATGGGAAATAATTCTAAAGTGCCAAATGAAAAGAAAATGTCAGAGGAGCTGAATTTTAACTTATAAACAAATTATTTTAAGGTCAACGTTATCATATTTACTAAAGATCATGTACTTATTTTAGTCAGTCTACAATTTGGTTAGAATTACTCTGAAGTGGGAGGGAGGAGATAGAATTGTATCAGAACAGAGTCAGTTATACTAGCTAACAATTTAATAGTTTCCTTATATGTATAAATTAACCCACAATCTAGCATCCTAACAAAATGAGTTTCCTGTTCTGAATACTCTGAAAGGGGTAAAGGTAAGAGGAAGCTACAATGAAGTGCCAGAAGGGAAGGGAATTACCATTTCTGGGTCTCAAGTTACAGAAGCCTCATGGCAGCAAGAAATACCACAAAGTTATAATTCTTTTAAAGAAACAGCCAGTAATAATACTTGTGACTCAGAAGTTCAGTGAGTACCTTATGATGCTATTGGTGGTGGCAAGAGTGCACAAATACCAATAGCATCATTAGACACTAATGGCTCTCATAAGGCCAAATGGGTAGGAGGTTGAAAGTATGGGAAATGCAGGACATAGTGTAACTCTATTTTTCTGGGCTTGAGTATGAGAAAAATGAGAATAGATCTTTTGTCTAACTATTGCTGACACTGGTTATCATGATCAAAACCCAAAGGAGAGAAAAGAATGCCCAAGGCATGCTATCATTCATGACACCTCTCTCTCAAACTGTTGAAGACATACTTAGAAAAAAAAAAAAATTCAACCTCTAAGATGGTACAGCTATTGACTATTTCAAGTTTATCTATAAACTGCAACTTGTAAAAGATGCTAACTAGGTCTTCACCACATTTGGAGAGTATGTTTAGCATAATTATATTAGGCTATTTGCTATTGATTAGACATCTTAAAAACTACAAAAGCTCTGAAACTTGGAGAGAAATATCCATTACTATTCATATTTATATTTGTTTAATAGTCAATTTATTAAACTTCTGTAACACTTGAAAACAACTGGTTTCTTTTAACATTTAAACATTAATTACAAACTTAAATTCCCTTAAACAATTTAAACTACAAATTTAACATGTTTACCATTTCAAACATATTAACTATTAGACAAAACACACATGAATACAGTGGCTATGAAACTTATTACTTCTCTTAACCTAATTCTAAAATAACAATACATCGGTGTAATTCATTCTACGTTATTTTTATACCTGTTCTTATGCCTTCTTATGATTAAAGTCACATTTATTTGGGTATCTCCCCAGGGTTACAGAAATTGTATCAGATCCAAAAGGAAACAAATAACTCCTTGCACCAGCCAAGGTGGCAGAACCTGGGTTACTGACTAATTGATTTTTTGCTGGGGCATGGGACCATTTCCCCTGAGACAATTCAAACCTGAGCAAGCAATTATCTGGCTTTACTTATAATAAGTAAATACCTTAAACTTCACAAAGGTTATTTTTATAATCTAATGTTTTGGGGGTTTTTTTTGGTACGTGCCCCTAGTGGGAACCGAACCCAGGACTCTCCGGTCCACAGGCCGATGCTCCAACCACTGAGCCAAACTGGCCAGGGCTATAGTCTAATGTTTTGCCCAAGAATGTTATCTTTAAGTTTTATGTGCCCATTGTTACAAAAGCTTTTGTGCTATCATTATTATATACTGACCTATTCATAGGTCATGTTTTTTAATATGCTTGCTCTTATGTTATGCCTGCACTTTTAATATCTTAACATGATTAGTAGGGCCATCTAAGGTTTTAATTTCCTAAGAGATGAGGGATCGAATCTGTGCAGAAAAGTCTCCTCAATTGGATATCAAGTTAATCTGACATCTTGGGACATAATTAGACCCCACTTCTTACATGTTTCTATGTGTGACTGTTGATGCTGTGTGGTCTTTCCTTTCCTTGGTACAATTCTTATCCCAGAACTACTGACTTACAATTCTGTTTTCTATCTTCTCTACTTACACAATGATAAACAAAAATATCCTATACTTTATAAACAGGTATGTAGTTAATAGAGAAAACAAAATGCACATGTATTAATGGGTCTCTTTCATTAATAAGTTTTAATCGATGTTCTCTTTCATTGATGTTTCTATCTCTCTCTCCCTTCCTCTCTCTCTCTCTAACATCAATAAAGAAAAAAAAATAGCCTGGCCAGTGTGGCTCAGTGCTTAAGCATCAACCCATGCACTAAGAAGTCAATTCCCCATCAGAGCACATGCCCAGTTTGTGAGCCCAAATGGGGAGCATGCAGGAGGTGGCCAATTGATGTTCTCTCTCATGGATGTTTCTATCTCTCCCCCTTCTTCTCTCTAGCATTAATAACAAAAATTTTTTTTTAAGTTTTAAACATTCTACTATAATTGCTTTTTTTCTGCATTGAGACTACATTTGGTACACTATTAATTTTTTTAAAAATATTTTTAATTGATTTTTAGAGAGAAGGGAAGAGAAAGGGAGAGAGAAGAACATGGTGTGATCAGCTACCTCCTGCACACCTCCTACTGGGGATTGAGCCTGCAACCTGGGTATGTGCCCTGACCGAGATTCAAATCAGCAATATTTCAGTGTATGGGATGATGCCTAACTGAGCCACAATGGCCAGGGCCACTATTAACATTTTTGAATATCATTATAAACTCATGGTTTTTCACAAACTTATTTCCATGAATTAAACTAAAATTATCATTGGTTTCTTTTCCCTCACTTAATTTGTCATAGCTTGACCAGTGAGAGCACCAGTGACCTAGCTCTTTATCTTTTTAGCAGTTTTAGACATCTGTGAAAGCATATTTGCTTTCCAACAACAGTAGGATGTTTCAGACCCATCCTAATATCTTCATGCTCCAAGACAGATCTGCTATTCCTTAAGGATTCCTGGTCTATTTAGCATTCCATAAATTCACAGCACCCATATAGCTCGTACACAGTAGGCTCAGTAAATATTTGTTAAAGTATGAATAAATAATACTAGACAAAAATCTAGGCACTAAGAGTGCATGCAGAAATTGGTGATGGACACAAGTGGTACTACTACTGTTTGTAATAGCAACAAAGCAGAAGACAGCTTTTAAAATTTAAATTGTTCAATTTCAAGTTATATTCTTGTGCCCTTTTATTATAATACCAGGTTTCATTGCCCACCAAGAATATTTACTACACTGTTACATGACATATATAATATTCACTCTAAAAGAGTCACTAAAAGGCAGCGCCGCGTGCTTTCAGTCTCTGCAGCACTGAGCCTGCGTGGTCGCTGTACTTAACCCAGGCAGCATGAGCGACTCTGGGCCCCTCAGGCTCCGCGGTCTGGAGGACACCATGAAAGACAAGGAGTTCATCAAATACTTTAAGTCTCAAATGAAAAAAGATCCTGACATGGCCGCAGCAGTGGCTGCCATACAAACTTTACTGGAGTTCTTTTTTCTTCTTTTTTTTCTTTTTTGTTCAGGTAGAGTGGGAGGGAGAGAGAGGAACAGAGAGAGAGAGAGAGAGAGAAACATCGATGTGAAAGGAACACATCGAGTGGCTGCCACCCACACAACCGACCAGGGCCGGGGACAAACTGCAACCGAGGTATGCGCCCTCAGCGGGAACCGAACCCGGGTCTCTCAGGACCGCAGGCCGATGCTCTAACCGCTGAACCAAACTGGCCAGGGCTACTGGAGTTCTTGAAGAGAGATAAAGGGGAGACAATCCAGGGCCTGAGAGCGAATCTCACCAGAGCCATAGAAACCCTATGTGGCGTGGACTCCTCTGTGGCCAGGTCCTCCAGCGGGGAGCTCTTCCTGTGCTTCATTATCCTTACCTCCCTGAAATACTCTGATTACTCCAAATGTAAAAAGATCATGATTGAGTGGGGGAGCTTTTTCTCAGGAGAATATCATTGTCGAGAAGTAACATTGCAGATCTGTGCCATACTTTCATCAAAGACGGGGCGAGAATATTAACTCATGCCTACTCCAGAGTGGTCCTGAGGGTCCTGGAAGCAGCTGTGGTGGCCAAGAAGCCCTTCAGTGTGTACATCACAGAGTCGCAGCCTGACTTATCCAGTAAGAAAATGGCAAAAGCCCTGTGCCACCTCAATGTCCCTGTCACTGTGGTCCTGGATGCTGCTGTTGGCTACATCACGGAGAAAGCAGATATTGTCATAGTTGGTGCTGAAGGAGTTGTTGAAAACGGAGGAATTATTAACAAGACTGGAACCAACCAGATAGTTGTGTGCGTCAAAGCACAGAACAAGCCTTTTTACAAGGTTGTAGAGAGTTTCAAGTTTGCAAGGCCCTTCCCACTAAACCAGCAAGATGTCCCAGATAAGTTTAAGTACGAGGCACATACTCTGAAGTCTGTGCAGACTGGGCAAGACCTCAAAGAGGAGCACCCGTGGATCAACTACACCTCCCCTTCCTTAATAACACTGCTGTTTACAAACCTGGGGGTGCTGACAACCTCAGTAGTCAGCGACGAGCTCATCAAGCTATACTGTGATGCAGAGCCTCCCTGCACAGCTGACATCACGGCGCCAGGAGGAGCCTCTGCACCCTCAATGCTCCATGCCCAATGCAATTTTTTTTTTCATCCTCACCTGAGAATATTTTTCCATTTTGTTGTTCAGATAGAGTGGAAGGGAGAGAGAAAGAGAGAAAGAAACATCGACGTGAAAGGGACACATCGAGTGGCTGCTGCCCACACAACCGAATCAGGGCCGGGGACAAACTGCAACCGAGGTAGGTGCCCTTAGTAGGAACCAAACCAGGGTCTCTCGGGACCCGAGGCCAACGCTCTAATCGCTGAGCCAAACAGGCCAGGGCCCGGCGTGATTGGTTTTTAATAGAGATTTATGGACTAAGGACTTAAAATCATAAGTCCTGGCGAATTTTTTATTCTTTTCAGCTCCATTTAAACATGTTCATGGTTCCCCTAAAATGCAACCAAAATGTACTGACAGTTTCTAGACACTTTCATTCACTTCTTGTTTTGAAAAATACATGTTAGATTATTGGCTACTTACTTCCAGACCCCTCCCTTCATCTTCCTCTGCACTACATTGATTTGCCAAAAGCACCCATTAAAGACATGCAGCCTAAAAGAGCAGGTGTACCTCGCGAAACAAGCCAAGCAGAGAAAGACAAGTATCATATGATCTTACTTATTTGTGGAATATAATGAACATAACAGTCTGAGGAATGGGGTAGTCCCAGAGACGTGGAAGTGGGGTACAGACTGACGATCTCCATAAGAGAGAGTGTGTGGGGGGGAGATAATCCACAGAACTTATATGCATGTATGCATGAACAATGGCCATGGACAGCAAAGCTGGGGACAAGGTGGGGAGGGAGAGGGAGATGGGAATCGTTGGGGGGTGGGGGGGTAGGAGAAACATCTGTAACAAAAATTAATTAATTAATTTAAAAAAAAAAAAAACACTGCCTGCAAGTTACCAAGGTACTAGTACTGACTAAAAGTGCCCCTTTCCTATGGGTCTGGGTTTTAATTCTGAGGATCTCTCCGTGAGCTTTTAGGTTCTCATCATCCCAACCTCATCCTTTCATTCACCCAGGTGTCAGGATGGTAGACGCTTCTTGTAGACCCCACATCTATGCTACTTTAATATTCCTGTTTTACATTTTCAGTCCTTTAATAGCTATTTAACCAACTTCTGTGTAAAATTCTTAGTTAAAAAAAATTAAAAATAAAAGGATCACTAGGAGACATCTCAAAGGTAAAGACAGCCATCCTCTAATATAGCTGAACCCAAGTTAAATGGCCTCCATGACTGCCTGTCAAGAAAGACATGACATATATAATATTCAGAATGCTATGAACAGAGAAAATAAACATTGTTTTAAAATTTGAATCCCCAAATTACAAGTCAATAAAGTAGACATTTGGTATAGCAGATATTGATTGCACCCGAGCTGCTTCTCATATGGGCAACTTTATGCAGCATGATCCAAGGCAAACAGCAACACTGATTTTCATACGTAAAAATGTATGGTAGCAATGTATAGTAGATTAGCCCATTTGTAAATAAATGTATACCTAATTAGGCCTTCTGTTTTTAGAGTAAGACAAATTTACTTTATATGACTCTACCCATGAAAACGTACCTTGAATGCTTTTCTGGTTCAGTGAAAGTTCAGCTTGGGGAAACGACACAATGAACACTGGACAACCTTTTCTGGTTCTAAAACATAAATCAATCAATCAATAAATAAATAATTTTAAATGGAAAGAGAAAAACACTTTCTTATTCAAATACAATTTAAACATTTTTCTTCATTTAAAGGAATTTCGAAATAGGATAAGCTGTTTTTATTGCTATATTATTCCAATTGCTTTTACAATTACTACCAATTTGTTAACATCAATATTTCAAGTGGTTGCAAAAATGAAGAAGGGAGCTGAGAAATTAATGGATAAAATTCAGAGGTGTATACATGCTAAAGTACATTTAGTTCTGAAAGTAATTTTGGAGGTGACTGCCAAATAGGGGTGGGTAGGGTCAGGAAAAAAAATCAGCCCTGAATTATGTAGCTTGGCTATCTAAATCCTCAAATACACTACAAGTTTGTCATTATAGATAAAATATTAATGGCATTATTTATCATTCTTTCATTTTATAGTAGGCAAAGAAAAAATAGGAAGGGCCCTGGCCAGGTAGCTCAGTTGGTTATAACATTGTCCTAATACGCCAAGGTTGCAGCTTTAATCCCCAGTCAGGGCATATACAAAAAACAACCAATGAGTACATAAATAAGTGGAAGAACAAACTGATGCTTCTCTCTTTCTCTCAAATCAATAAATAAAAATTTATAAAAGAAAAGATAGGAAACACGGAAGGAAAAAGATTGAAAGCAAAATAAGAGTCATACCTAATCTGCAATTGTGATCATCTGCCCTGGGATAATTAAAAGTTCACTGAAGCCGTGGCCGGTTTGGCTAGTGGTTAGAGCGTAAGCCCACACTCCAGAGAGACCCAGGTTCAGTTCCCGCTAAGGGCACATACCTCGGTTGCAGTTTGTCCTTGGCCCCGGTTGGGGTTGTGTGGGTGGCAGCCAGTGGATGTGTCTCTCTCTCTCTCTTCCTCCCTCTCTCCCTCCTGCTCTATCTTAAGATAAATGCAAAACTGTCCTCTGGTGAGGATTAAAAAATAAATAAATAAAAGTTCATTGAAGAAAAGCAATCAGTTAACTCTCTTTTTCTCAATCTAATTTACTACACAAATGCAATCAAAATATCTTCCTTTAAAAAAAAAAAAAAAAGCCTTGACCCTGGCTGGTGTGGCTTAGTTGTAGGTTTGGTCCAGACAGTGAAAGAGGCAACTAATTGATGTTTCTCTTTCCCCCTCTCCCTTCCTCTCTCTAAAATCAATAAAAACGTATTTTTTTAAAAAAAGAAAAGCCTCTGCCCAGCTGGTGTGGCTCAGTAGCTGAGTGTTGACCCATGCACCAAGAGGTCACTGGTTTGATTCCCAGTCAGGACACATGCTCAGGTTGTGGACCCAGTCCCCAGTGGGGGGCATGCAGCAGGCTGCCAATCCATGTTCTCTCTCATGGATGGTTCTATCTCTCTCTCCCTCTCCCTTCAATAAAGAAAAAATATATTTTTTAAAATAAATAAATATAAAAGAAAAGCCTCTGTTTTTAGTTTTTATGTACCAGACAAATCTACTTTAATCTTAAGCAAGAGTAATAAATTAAACACTCTCTCTTATCTAAAAATAGAAGTAATTAATACATGCTATCTTGAAAATGGAAAGAAACTGCTCATATAAAATAATTTCTATGAGGCAAATAAAACTGAATGCTGATTTTTTTCCCCCTAAAAAATGATTCTTTGACAAGAACAAGCTGATTTACAACAAAATAAAATCATAGTTTGAGTCAATAACAGAATTTTTTTCCTTAATTACAAAGGAAAACTTAAGACATAAGTCTAAAAATAGAGCAAATTTTCACCTACATTATTTAAAAAAATAATTATTTATATCAGGCAAGACTGCAAACAATGTATATGTCTGATAGTAGAATGATTAAATAAATCATAATACAGTCAAGTTACACAGTGAAACAGAGACCATTAAAATTAATATTTATAAAAAATATTAATGTGAAAATAATTATGATAACCTATTAAATTTTAAAAACAGGAAACTAAACTGCAGAATCATCTCAATTTTGTAGAAAATATGAACAAAAACCAATATATATAGAAAGCCTAAAGTAAAATGTAACAAAATGTTGACCATGGTTCTGTTTTTTTTTTTAACTTATCTTTACTGTTGAATGTATTACAGATGTTCCCACCTTTTTTTCCCCACTGACTCCCTCCTCCCCAATCCCACCCCACTCCTGCCTTCCCCACACTATTGTCGGTGTCCACTCGTTGTGCATATATGCATTGAAGTTCTTTGGTTTATTTCATCCTGTCCTCCCTCTCCCCTTCCCTTTGAGGTTCATCAGTCTAACAACCAATTTGTACTTCTTAATTCCTTCATCTTTTTCACCCATCCCCCCAGTTCCCACCCATCTGGCAAGCAACAAAAAGATCTCTGTATCTATGAGTCTGTTTCTGTTCTGCTTGCTCATTTTGTAGATTCAATTGTTGACAGATATGTATTAAATGCCATTTTATTGTTCACATTTTTGTTCTTCTCCTTAAAAAAGACCCTTCAATATTTCATATAATAATGGTTTGGTGGTGATGAACTCCTTTAGCTTTTTCTTGTCTGGGAAACTCTTTATATGGCCATCGATTCTAAATGATAGCTTTGCAGGATAATCTTGGTTGTAGGTCGTTGCTTTTCATCACCTTGAATATCTCTTGCCACTCCTTTCTGGCCTGCAAAATTTCTTTTGTGAAATCAGCTGACAGCTATGGGAGCTCCTTTGTAGGTAATGAACTGCTTTTAAGATTCACTCTTTGGCATTTTGATGATGATGTGTCTTGGTGTAGACATCTTTGGGTTCATCTTGTTTGGGACTCTCTGTGCTTCCTGGACTTGTATGTATGTTTCCTTCACCAAGTTAGGGAAGTTTTCTGTCATTCTTGTTTCAAATAGGTTTTCAATTTCTTGTTCTCTCGCTTCTTCTGGCACCCCTATGATGCAAATCTTGGCACGCTTGAAATTGTCCCAGAGGCTCCTTACACTATCTTCATTTTTTTTTTTTTCATTCTTTTTTCTTTTTGCTGTTCTGATTGGGTGTTTTCTGCTTCCTTATATTCCAAATCAATGGTTTGCTTCTTGGCTTTACCCACTCTATTATTGATTCCCTGTAGATTATTCTTTATTTCAGTTAGTGCATCCTTCATTTCTGACTCATCCTTTTATATGTTGTTGATGTTCTCACTAAGTTCCTTGAATGTCTCACTAAGTTCCTTGAATGTCTCACCAAGTTCTTTGAGCAACCTTACAACCTGTGTTTTGAACTCTGCATCTGATTGATTGCTTATCTCCATTTTGTTTAATACTTTTCCTGGAGTTTTGTTCTTTTCTTTCATTTGAGACATGTTTCTTTGTTTCCTCATTTTGGCTGATTCCCTGTGATTTTTTTTCTATGTATTAGGTAGAGTTGCTATGCTATGTCTCATAGGGTGGCCTATTGTTGTAGGTGTCCTGTAGGATCTAGTGGCACAGCCTTCCTGATCACCTCAGCTGGGCCCTCGAAGTACACCCCTAGTATGGACTGTACACCCTTCTGTTGTAATTGAGTCTTGATTGTTGTTGGTATGTTAATGGGAGAGATTTACTCAGGCTGATCAACTGCAAGGACTGGCTGTGCCCACTGAACACTGGCCTCTGACTACCTTGGAGGATCAGCTATGTAGGGGCCCACCACATAGAGCAAGACTTACTTCATCAGGGCTCTGGTACCCACTGAGTCCACTCATTGAGTGTGTCACTTGTGGAGGTGGTTGGGTGGTGGTGTTTCAATGTGGTCTGAAGCTGTCCACTGGGTGTACTGGCTCTGGGGCAAGCTCAGCCACTGCCTGTGTTCTTTCCAGGGCCACCCACAATAAGCTACCAAGTGATCCACAGATGGCTGCTTCTTGTCCTGGGCTTGGAGGTGCCCAGGAAAAGCCAAGTTGTGAACCAAGAATGGTTGCTTCTAGTGCCAGGCCTGGGGCCACTTAGTGAGAGAGATGCGGCTTGCTGAAACCGGATGCTGATTGAGAGATTTTAGGAAACTCTGAAGCAGGATCCAAGACAGGCCATTCCAATGGTAAAGCCATTGGAAACAGCTTGGGTGGGCCTAAAAGTTGGGTGGGGCAGGGCCTCAGGGAATCACCAGGGCAGGGCAAACAGTGTGAGCCAGGTTGCTGGGGTTCCAGATATGGTAGCCATCTGCCACCCCAGGGAAGAGCTCACCAAAGGAACATCAGCCTCTGCCAGCATGTCTGTCCAGGAGAAAGCCGCCTCTCTAGCACTCGTCACGAGGCCAAACAGCTCAGTTCTTCCCTCTATGTCTTTGGCTCCCCTCAAGCTGCCTTCCCTCCAAGCTTAGAGGGAGCAAGTCTGAGTAAGTCTGTGCACAGGCCCTTTAAGAGGAACTGCCTGGGGCTCTATAAGCCAGGCCCTCCCTCAGCCTCAGTTCCTGCTGTTTTTTTCCAGCCAGAAGTTATGGGGACTTCTCTTCCTGGCACTGGAACCCAGAGCTGGGAGCCTGATGTGGGACAGGGACCCCTCACTCCTCACTCCTCAGTGAGGACCTTCCCAGCCGAGGTGTCCCTCCTGATTTTTATCTGCCACAGTTGGGTGTGGGACCAGCCCATCCTCGCCTCCGCCCCTCCTACAGTCTCAGTGTGGCTGCTTCTTTAATTTCATAGTTGTAGAACTTCCATTCAGCTCGATTTCAGGCAGTTCTGAATGATGGTTGTGTTGTAGTTTAGTTGTAATTTTGATGTGGTTGTGGGAGCAGGCGATACCACGTTTACCTATGCCACCATCTTGATGGGAAGTTGGCAAAGGTTCTCTCTTGAAAGTGAGTTATGGATGCTAAGTTAGTCTTCCTTAGCCTTTTCTTTTTTTCTGTTTCTGTAGATGAACTTAGATTGCTGATATATTCAGTAAAAGGGTTTATAAATTTTTACTGTTTTTTAAAATGTTTTTACTGACTTTTTAGAGAGAGAAGAAGGGAGAGGGAGAGAGAGAAACATCAATGTGAGAGAGAAACATTGAAACATCGATTGGTTGCCCCCTGTACACACCCTGACTGGACACCAAACCTGCAACCTGGGCATGTGCCCTGACTGGAAATCAAACCAGTGACCTTTTGGTACACAGGACAATGCTCAACCAACTGAGCCACACCAGCCAGGGCAGTAAAAGGTTTTTTTTTAAAAAAAACAGTGATTCTCAACCCTTCTGATTTTGGACTCCTTTACACTCTTAAAAATTACTGGGAAACCCAAAGAGTTTTTGTTTATGTGGCTTATATATATTTATATATAGGAAATTGAAATGGAGAAAAAAATTAATTTAAGAGTAACAGTAGTAATCTAGTAACATTTTATAAAAAATTACTTTTTTAAAAATGAAAAAATTAGTGAGAAAAGTGGTATTGTATTACATTTTTTTAAATGTCTTTAATGTATGGCTTAATAGAAGAGAGCTGCCATCTCATATCTGCTACTGCTTTCAATCTTTTGCCATATATTTTGTTTGACATATATAACAAAAATCTGGTCTCGCACAGACATGCAGTTGGAAAAGGAATGAATATTTTAATAAACTTTTTGAATAACTGTGGATATTCTTTTTTGATATCACATCAAAACCCTAAATGCAATAACATCATTAAAGGTTACTGAAAATGCAGAAACTGAAACAAAAATCAATGAACTTTAGTACTGTGTTACATTACAACCCACTGGTCTACTTGCACTTTGAACAAATCTTTTATCTGTGCCTGATTTTGTGACACCATGTATTGGTCATATAGAAAACAATGAGTTATGCAAATCATTTTTATTTTCTTTCTTTTTTTTTTTTTATCATCCTCACCCGAGGACCTTTTTCCATTTTTTGTTCAGGCAGAGTGGGAGGGAGAGAGAGGAACAGAGAAAGAGAGAAACATCGATGTGAAAGGAACACATCGAGTGGTCGCCACCCACACAAGCAACCAGGGCTGGGGACAAACTGCAACCGAGGTACATGCCCTTAGCGGGAACTGAACCCGGGTCTCTCCGGACCGCAGGCCGATGCCCTAACCGCTGAGCCAAACCGGCCAGGGCGCAAATCATTTTTAAAAATCCTCACCCGCCCTGGCCAATTTGGCTCAGCGGTTGAAGTGTCGGCCTGTGGTCCAGAGAGACCCGGGTTCGGTTCCCGTTAAGGGCATGTATCTCGGTTGCAGTTTATCCCCGGCCCTGGTTGGTCGTGTGGGTGGCAACCACTCGATGTGTCCCTTTCACGTCGATGTTTCTCTCTCTTTCTGTCACTCCCTCCCACTCTAACTGAACAAAATATGGAAAAATGTCCTTGGGTGAAGATTAAAAAAAAAAAAAAATCCTCACCCAAGGATAGTTTTCATTGATTTTTAGAGAAAGAGGAAGAGGAAGAGAGAGAGAGAGAGGGAGAGAGAGAGAGAGAGAGATGTAAGAGAGAAATATTGATTGGTTGCATCCTGTACACACCCAGACAGGGAATCAAACCTGCAACCTCGGTATGTGCCCTGACTGGAAATGAACCTGCAACTTTTTGGTGTACAGGACAATGCTCCAACCAACTGTGCTACCTCGCCAAGGTGATCTATGAAATCTTATATACATTTATTATAAAAGATCAAGAAGATCATCTTTGTAAATATTACCACTTATCTCACCAGAAAATTTTAAGTATTGGAAAACCATCAAGGTCAAGGTGGTAGACACAAGTTTTCCTAAACTCTTTCTCTTGAGAGCTTAAATTTTTTCATTGATAACAAATACCATTAGTTGTTTTCCTTGAAGTGACTGGCTTACTTCTTTCATTTTCAAGCAAATGTCTGCCATATACACCAAAGTGTAAATAACTAGTTTGTCTGTTAGTTATTTTTTCAAGTTAAAAAAAAAAAGTGAGGCTAGTTTTCTTACAATGCTTACAACTCAAACAAGTGCTCTCCTTAAGACACTTCACGCCCTGCCTGGTTTGGCTCAGCAGTTAAAGCATCGGCCTAAGGACCACAGGGTCACAGGTTTGATTCTGGTCAAGGGCATGCACCTGGGTTTCAGGTTCAATCCCCTGCCCTGGTTGGGGTCATATGGGAGGCAACCAATGGATGTGTCTCTCTCTTCTCTCTCTCTCCCCGCCTCCATCCCTTCACTCTATCCAAAAAAATTAATTTAAAAAAATCCTCAGGTGAGGATTCACAACAACAATAAAGACACTTCAGTATGTACAGAAGTACTTTAAGCATACTTCCCACTTCATCAGATTTAATAAAACTAATAACTTCTCTGCTTTAACAAATGCGTTAAGTAAAACTGGCTTTTTAAAAAAATACATTTTTATAGATTTTTTAGAGAGAGAGAGAGAGAAAAACATCCATGTAAGAGAGACTCATCAATCAGCTGCCCTCTGCATGCCCCCTACTTAGGATTAAGCCCGAAATCCAGGCTTGAGCCCTGACTGGGAATCAAAACGGGACCTCCCAGTCCATGGGAGGATGCTCAATGCACTGAGCCACATCAGGGAGGTGGTTGTTTTTTTTTTTTAACTGGTAGTACATGGCAGTGCAAAATATGGTGACTACCAGTGCTATTTGGTGCCACTGCCCTGATTCCTACCTAAGGCTACTGAATTTTACCCATTTGCTTTAGCACTGTAAGTGTAAAATGTCAATACCATGAAATAGGCAATAATGTGTTGGTATTGTTATGAAAAAATTTTGACCTCACAGACCCTCTGGAAAGAGTCTCAAAGATTCCTAGGGGGTCCAAACACCATACTTTGAGAATCACTGTTTTTTGCCTTGGCCGGTTTGGCTCAGCAGTTAGAGCGTTGGCCCACAGACCAGAGAATCATTGTTTTAAAAGAACTGAAAGGAAAAAGTCTCCTCAATAGTTGTATGAAGTCTAATTTCAATACAAATTATTATTTTATACTACACTTTAAATTCCCTCTTAAAATAATATTAAACAGAATCAACTTAATTTGATTCAACCTCTCTTATGAAATAAAACTTATAGAGAATATTTATAAAATAATATATATCTATGCTGCTTAAGGGGAAATTAATCAAAAACATAATTCTAAAACTCCTAAGAAAACGAAGACTCATTTTTTATGTGCAAAATGACAAAAAATATCTATAATCTAATAAAGCCAAAAATTAGTATGCTTACTGTAACAGGGCTTGATTTTGTTCCATTTCATCTTGAGGTTGCTAGAAAAAAAACAGTAGTTTTTTTCCAACTGATGAATGCTAACCCAATGCAACACACTAACAATTTAACATTTAAGGTAATTCATATGTTATTATTTCTTAGCATTTTAAAAAATTGTGATAAAGTATATATAACATAAAATTTACCATTTTTAATCATGTACAGTTCTGTGGTATTATATACATTCACACTGATGTGCAACCATCACCATCATCCATCTCTAGAATTTGTTTATCTTCCCCAACTAAAACGCCATATCCATTTGGAGAAAGGAAGGTTGGGGAGGTAGAAGAGGGAATAGAGGGGATAAATGGTGATGGAAAAAATTAAATTTAATTAAATTTAAAACAACAACAACAAAAAACTCCATACCCATTAAACACGAATTGTCCATTCTCCGCTCTCCAAACCCTTAGCATCCACCGTTCTACTTTCTTTCTCTAAGAATATGACTACTCTAAGTATCTCATATTAAAGAAATAATACTATATTTGTCCTCTTATGACTGGCTTATTTCACTTAGTATAATGTCTTCAAGGTTTATCTATGTTACAGCATGTATCAATATTTTCAATATTTACTTCTTTTTTAACGTGGAAGAATATTCCACTGTATGTACCACATTTTGTTTATCCACTCATCTGTTAATAGACACTTTGGTTGCTTCTACCTTTTGGCTATTGTGAATAATGTTTCTATAAATATAGGTAAACAAATACATTTTCAAGTCCCTGTTTCTACTTATTTTAGGTATAAACCCAGAAGTGGAATTTCTGGATCATATGGTAATTCTATACACAATATTTTGAGGAATTACCATACCATCTTCCACAGAGGCTACACCCATTCTACATTTCCCACCAGCAATAGAGGGGGTCAATGGAGGGGAAAGGGAAGACATTTTCAGTACTTTCAACAATAAAGATAAATTTTTTTTAAAATTCTGGCCCTGGCCGGTTTGGCTCAGCAGTTAGAGCATCGGCCCACAGACCAATGAGTCATGGGTTCAGTTTTGGTCAAGGACACATACCTCGGTTGCGGTTCATCCCCGGCCCTGGTCAGGTCGTGCAGAAGACAACCAGTCGATGTGGCTCTATCATGTCGATGTTTCTCTCTGTCACTCTCTCTCTCCCTCCCTCCCACTCTATCTGATGATAAATGGAAAAATATCCGCAGGTGAGGAATAAAAAAAATAAAAATAAATAAATAAAATTCTAATCACCCTGCATTTGGATGGTCCAGATATTTATGCCTCAGAGAGGTAGCTAGTAAGAGAGAATGTTACCTGCCTACTGGGGCTTAAAAATACTGATTCTAATACACACACATACACCTGTCAGTTAGATATATAATAAGACAGATTTTATATCTGGCCTTGCCAACCACAATCCATCTTCCATTACATCATTGGTTCTCAACCTTCCTAATGCCGCGACCCTTTAATACAGTTCCTCATGTTGTGTTGACCCCCAACCATAAAATTATTTTTGTGGCTACTTCATAACTGTAATTTTGCTACTGTTATGTCTTAGGCAACCCCTGTGAAAGGGTTGTTTGACCCCTAAAGGGGTCACAACCTACAGGTTGAGAACTGCTGTATTACATGGTCATCAAACAGCTTATAATTTTTCATTTCCTTCAGGGTTCTCATTAATGTCCATTTAAATTGATTTCACCTTACATATGGATGAGGGTAGAAGGTGAAAGCTGCAGAATGGAGAAGGAAAGGTGATATTCAATCTGGATTCACACCTCTCAGATAAAGAATCCCACAACTCAGAGAGCAGAAATTAAATGAAGCAGCCTACTGGTAATATCCACAAGACTGAATTAGTCATTATTCCCTGTTGAGTATTTTCCAGATGATCAAAACAGATTATAATAAGACCAGTGATGCCCCCTGTATTAATCAGGGTTCTCCGGAGAAACAAAACCAATAGAGTATATACATATAGAAAGAGATTTATTTTAGGAACTGTCTTTATAAACTGGCAAGTCTAAATCTGCAGTGTGGGCCACAAGGCGCAAGACAGGAAAGCTCATGATGCAAATGAAGTCCAAAGGCTGTCTGCTGGAGAATCCTCTCTTGCACAGGGAGGCTGATCTTTTGTTCTATTGAGGCCTTCAACTAGTTGAATGAGACCCATCCACGTTACGGAGGGCCATCTGCTCTACTCAATAATCCATACTTTAAATGTTAATAGCATTCAAAAACATCCTCACAGAAACTACCAGAATAATGTCTGACCAACAATCTGGGCATCCCATGGCGCAACCAAGCTGACACATAAAATTAACCATTACACCTCCTAATTTTGATAGACACCAACATTTCAAATTATTCTCCAGACATATTACTAAACTCTCCAAACAAAATTTAAAAATGTCCATGTAAAGTTTAAAAACTGCTTGCCACAAAAATATTTCAGCTAGAAATATAACAAAACAGATACTATACAGGGTAGGGCAAATGCAGATTTAAAGTTGTTTGTATGAAAAATAAAATAATTAATAAATAATAAGACAAGAATAAACTCTGGCCTGGCCAGTGTGGCTTAGTAGATTGAGTATCGTCCTATGGACTGAGAGGTCCAGGTTCAATTCCTGGTCAGGGCATATGCCTGGGTTGTGGGCTTGATCACCAATGGGGGGCATGCAGGAGGCAGCCAATTGATGTTTCTCTCTTACATCAATACTTCTATCTCTTCCTTACTCTAAAAAAAAATCAATGAAAACATATTTAAAATGCCCTGACCAGTTTGGCTCAGTGGTTAGAGCATTGGCCCATAGACCAGAAAGTACCGGGTTCGGTTCCCGCTAAGGGCATATACGTTTCTCTCTCTCTCTGTCTCTCTGTCTCTCTGTCTCTCTCTCTCTCCCTCCCTCCCTCCCTTCCTCCTGCTCTATGTGAAGATAAATGCAAAAATGTCCTCGAGTGAGGATAAAAAAAAGAATAAACTCATTAACAACTACTATGAACAATTACATGGCAAACAATTCGACAATCTAAGCCAAATGGACAAATTTCTAGAAACACATAGTCTCCCAAAACTGGACAAGGAAGAGATAGAAAACTTGAACAGACCAGTAACAACTAAGGAAATTGAAGATGTAATCAAGACTCTCCCAGCAAACAAAAGCCCAGGCCTGGATGGCTTCACGGGGGAGTTTTACGAAACATTGAAAAGGAACTAATACCCATTCTCCTCAAATTATTCCAAAACATTCAAGAAGGAAGACTTCCAAGCCCGTTTTATGAGGCCAGCATAATTCTAATTCCAAAACCAGAAAAAGACACTACAAAGAAAGAAAACTACAAGCCAATATCCCTGATGAACATAGATGCCAAAATCCTGAACAAAATACTAGCAAATCGGATCCAGCAATACATTAAAAAAATTATTCACCATGACCAAGTGGGAATGATCTCAGGATGCAAGGCTGGTACAGTATTCGCAAATCAATAAATGTGATACACCACATAAACAAAATGAAGAATAAAAACCACATGATCATATCAATAGATGCTAAAAAAGCCTTCGACAAAATCCAACATCAATTTCTGATAAAAACGCTCAGCAATCTGGGAATAGAGGGATCATATCTCGACATAATAAAAGCCATATATGAAAGACCTACAGCCAAGATCATACTCAATGGGCAAAAATTAAAAATATTTCTCTTAAGAACAGGAACAAGACAAGGATGCCCACTTTTGCCACTCTTATTTAACATAGTACTGGAAGTCTTAGCCACAACAATCAGACAGGAAGAAAAAATGAAAGGGATCCAAATTGGAAAGGAGGAAATAAAACTGTCATTATTCGAAGATGACATGATATACTATATGTAGAAAACCCAAAAGACTCCATCAAAAATTTACTAGACTTAATAAATGAATTTGGCAAAGTAGCAGGATACAAAATTAACATCAAGATATTGATGGCATTCTTATACACCAACAATGAACTCACAGAAAGAGAAATTAAAAAAACAATCCCGCCCTGGCCGGTTTTGCTCAGCAGTTGGAGCGTCCGACTGCGGTCCAGAGAGACCCGGGTTCGGTTCCCACTGGGGGCATGTACCTCGGTTGCAGTTTGTCCCCGGCCCTGGTTGGTCATGTGGGTGGCAGCAGCTCGATGTGTCCCTTTCACGTCGATGTTTCTCTCTTTCTCTCTCTTCCTCTCTCTCCCTCCCACCCCACTCTATCTGAACAAAAAATGGAAAAATGTCCTCGGGTGAGGATTAAAAAAAAAGTTCATATGGAACCATAAAAGACCTTGAATAGCCACAGCAATCTTGAAAAAGAAGAACAAAGTAGGAGGGATCACACCAGATTTCAGGTTATACTACAAAGCCACTGTAATCAAAACAGCCTGGTACTGGCACAAGAATACGCATATAGACAAGTGGGACAGAACAGAGAACCCAGAAATGGACCCAAGGCAATATGCTCATTTAATATTTGAAAAAGGTGGCAAGAGCATACAGTGGAGTAAAGACAGCCTCTTTAATAAATGGTGTTGGGAAAATTGGACAGCTACATGCAGAAAAATGAAACTAGACCATCAACTTACACCCTACACAAGAATAAACTCAAAATGGATAAAAGACTTAAATGTGACTCATGAATCCATAAAAATCCTAGAATAAAATGTAGGCAACAAAATTTCAGACATCATACGCAGCAGAATTTTCACTGATACATCACCTAAGGTAACAAAAACAAAGGAGAAAATGAACACATGGGACTACATCAAACTCAAAAGCTTCTACACAGAAAAAAATACAATAATCAAAATAGAAAGGCAACCCACTGTATGGGAGAGCATAATTGCCAATGATATATCAGATAAGGAGTTAATTTCCAATATATAGAGAGTGCTCATACAACTCCACAAAAGGAAGGCAAAGAACCCAATTAAAAAATGGGCAGAGGAACTAAATAGACACCTCTCCAAACAGGACATGCAAATGGCTAAGAGACATATGAAGAAATGCTCAACATCACTAATCATCAGAGAGATGCAAATTAAAACAACAATGAGGTATCACCTCACACCTGTCAGAATGGCCGCCATCAACAAATCATCAAACTACAAGTGTTGGCAAGGGTGTGGAGAAAAGGGGGCTCTAGTACACTGCTGGTGGGAATGCAGACTGGTGCAGCCACTATGGAAAACAATATGGTGTTACTTCAAAAAATTAAAAATTGAACTGCCATTTGACCCAGTGATCCCACTTCTAGGAATATACCCTAAGAAGCCTGAAACACCAGTCAGAAAGAATGTATGTACCCCCATGTTCGTAGCAGCACTATTTACAATAGCTAAGATCTGAAAACAGCCCAAATGTCCATCAGTAGACAAATGGATAAAAAAGCAGTGGGACATATACACAATGGAGTACTATGAAGCTGTAAGAAAGATCCCTTATCCTTTGAGACGACATGGAGGGACCTGGAAAGTATTATCCTAAGCGAAGCAAGCCAAACAGAGAAAGACAAGTATCATATGATCTCACTTATTTGTGGAATATAATAAACATAACAGTCTGAGGAATGGGGTAGTCCCAGAGACGTGGAAGTGGGGTACAGACTGACAATCCCCAGAAGAGGGGGTGATGGGGGAGAGATAAACCACAGAAATTATATGCATGTATGCATGAACAATGGACATGGACAATAAAGCTGGGGACAGGGTGGGGAGGGATGGGCAGGGGGGAATCAGTGGGGGAAAAGGATGAAACATCTGTAACAAAAATAAATTAATTAAATATAAAAAATTAAATTAAAAAAATAAACTGTTTTGTGTACTCATAGCTGTAAACTTACTTTTATCTCACCTTGTAATTATCAATGAAAATAAATGTTCAAATAAAAGATAAATAAAAATTTTTAAATAAAAATTACTTGCCATATAGCACCTATAAAAAATAAGGAAAGGTATTACAAGACCCAACAAAAATGATGAATATGAAATATTTTAAAAGATGCTGCCTATATTTTAAAAAGATAGCATGGTGTATAATGAACCAAAGATCTTCTATTTCTGCATAGTCTGTCCTTATTTAAAATAGCTCATCATGCCTGGCCAGTGTTGCTCAGTGGTTGAGCATCAACCCATGCCCTAAGAGGTCATCGGTTTGATTCCCGGTCATAGCACATGCCCAGGTTATGAGCCAGATCCTCAGTGGGGGGCATGAGGTGGTGGTCAATCAATGTTCTCTCTCATTGATGTTTTTTCTATCTCTCTCTCCTTCTCCCTTCCTCTCTCTCTAAAAATCCATAAAGAAAAAAAATTTTTTAAATAGCTCATCATTTCTAAAATAGTCTGTTGAAGTTGAAATGTCAATATTGTATCTGAGTACTAAGAAATCATTTATTTAGAAATCCATTTAGTATTTTGGGCAAATTCATTCAGAAATCAAATTTATGATATAAAGCAATGTATTTTATTCTTTTAAAATAATTCTGGGAAAGCATCTTTTCTGGTCTTTCCATTTCTTTATTTGATAAAATCAATTTCTCTCATATAATCAAATCACTAAAGGTTTACTTTCTCTTTTTTTCCCCCCCAGAGTGGACTTTTCATTTTTATTATTATTATTATTATTATTTTATCCTCACCTGAGGACATTTTTACATTTATCTTCAGATAGAACGAGAGAGAGAGAGAGAGAGAGGAAGAGAGAGAGAGAAACTTCAATGTGAGAGAGACACATCAAGTGTCCGTCACCCACACGACTCCAACGGGCCAGGGACAAACTGCAACAGAGGTACATGCCCTTAGCGGGAACTGAACCCAGGACTCTCTGGTCCGCGGGCCGACGCTCTAACTGCTGAGCCAAACCAGCCAGGACTGGACTTTTTATTTCAAGTTGACTAGATGTAAAGACTAAGGGAAAGATGCCCGGCCAGTGTGGCCCAGTGGACTGAGCATCATCCCATGGACTGAGAGTTCCCAGTTCAATTCCCGGTCAGGGCACGTGCCTGGGTTGCACAATCGATCCCCAGTAGGGGATGTGCAGGAGGCAGCCAATCGATGTTTCTCTCACACATCAATGTTTTTCTCTCTCTCCCTCCCTTCCTCCTTCTCTAAAAAATCAATAAAAACATATTTAGAAAAAGAAAAAGACTCAGGGATAGAGACCCAAGTCTGTCTGTCTCCTTGGCTGAGACCTCTTGCATTTCCATACATGTTTCATATAATCACAAAGCCCCACTGGCTAATGTCAAAAGGGTTCTCAGTGTTGGACTATAAAGAAAGAATAACAGTGGAAACATGTTGGGGTCTGTTTTTTAAGAGCGAGAAAAGAATATTTCCTTTCCCCTAAAGGTTTATTTTCATAGAATAAAAGTAAAAATTGTGACAGCAATATGTGTCAATTTTTAAAATAATATTAAAACTCACTACAGATGTTTAAACACTTTGGTTATATGGTCTAACTCTTTTTTTAATGAGTTTATTAAAGAACGTTACTAGGAAGGCAACATTTGATTTGTCTTTTTTAAAAAGTTCTGTTTCTTCATGCTGCAGAATAAAGGTAATTAGAGTTACAAGCTTCTTTCTACTGGATTCTCTGATAGTATAGCACAGTGTTGTCATTTCTGCAATGCTAGAATAAATAAAGTCTCTTCTGTGCTTCTCTTTAAAAAGTGATGAATAATAACAGAAGGCAGCATAAAAAGCCATTTTTCTATTCATTCTGTTGTATTGAAGCCAGTATTTTTACCATCACAGGCTACAATTTTCACTTTATCCACTTAAAAAGTTGTCACCTCTGTGAATTCAACATCATTCAATACAAAAGTCTACACATTATCGCAGAATCTGTACATATTTAGAGAGCCCCCGAAATCGACTCTGTTCCTGACCCTCTGAGCCAATGCTGCGTTTATAGCCTTATCAAATTGAAGTAGAACTTGAAGGACAAGTTGGGGAATGATCTGTTGAAACTGTATGAGCTCATCGAGGCTTTCCTGAAGACTGTTTCCCAAAGTGGTATTTCTATATAACTGATATGCCATGGCTTAGGAGGAAGAAATTGTTTTTCTTATTCAGTCTTGCATTGATGTCCACCTCTTCCCCCACCACTTCTTCGGCAGCCACAGAAACCACAGAACTTGGCCAACAACCTGGAACTGCTTGCTATGGTCTAGCTTTTATTGTAGACAAAAAAAAAAAGGGGGGGTACGAGAAAGTTAAAAGAGGTATCTATTTTACTACCAATGAATTCCCATGAAAAAAGAGGGACAATATCAAATACTTCATTTATCCTTCTTATCTTAATTTTATAACAAGCCCATAACCAATACTTAGCTGATTTACTATCTGATGTCCAGCCTTTGAAAGATATATTCATTAAGCTCTTAAAGTCCTATAAGGCAATTGTTCCAAGCTGGCTGATCACCAGAAATTACTTGGGAGTCTTTCAAAAATGGAGATTACTAAGTTCCACTCAAGTACAATCTGAGAGTCTATATTTTTAAAAATCTATCCAAATGAGTCTGATAATCAAGCTGTCAAAATCACTGTTCTGAGGTATAATCTAGAGCCTAGTACAATACTCATATAGCAAGTGCTTTCAAAATAAACAAAAAAATATTATTTCCCATTTCTCAGTTACTGAAACTAAAGGAGAAAAATGTTCTGTTTTTCTTAACTTAGAAATTGCAAAGCTGATTTTTAAGCAATTTATTAGAAACTATAGACATTTCAGCTTCAAGGAAAAAAAATGATGTTAAAATTTTCTTTTAATCAGAGATAATTCAAGTGAAATACCTTCCTGGATAGAATATTAAATAGATCTTCATGGCCAACTCTTTGGAGCTGCTGTTAATTTCTGCTATTAAAATGGATATTCCCTTCCATTCCTTAAGACTTTGTAGGTATTTCTGATTAGCTAACTTATTTATGCCAATGTGCTAACTAAATCACCCTTACCCAGGGTGATTACCTTCCAAATAAACAAATAAAAACTTGTGTATATAAATATGTGAACACACACATGCACTCACACACACAAGACAATAGAAAGGCCTTTCACTGGTCCATACTCAAATTCTATCACATAGACTAGTATCTTCTTCACAAATTTAAGATAACCTCTGACATGCAATGGAGATAAAAACTGTAATTATTATATCCTAATTTAACCTATTTTAACATTCAGTTCCTCTCACTTCCACATCTCTACCAGAAAGAGAGAAAAATAAAGAAAAGAGAGAAAAGGAAATATTTTAACACTGCCTCCTAAAACAACTGTCTTTCAATAAATTTGCAGCAAAGAAACAGAATGACTAGCTAAGAAAGGAGAAAAAAAATTAGTAAGACACAAGAAGCAAAGTAACAGACAAAAAGAATTAATCATTAGTAACTTGCCACTCTTTGAAATAACATTTCCAATTTTTATTAAGTATGTATTTAGTCAATATGCTCACATACCTGTAATACTGCATCCTCATTAAGAACAGGCATCGTCTTCTTTTTACTTATTTTCTCTTGTGGATCCTCTCTGAGTTTGAACCTAAGTTGGATTTCAGGAGAACATGTGCCTAGAATAAAATGTAGTCATAGTCAATTATAACAGTTTTATTGCTCTGTTTTAACAATGATTCAAGGATTTAAAGATAGTAAAAAATGTCATTAAAGCTAATTTTGTAAATTATCATTTTCTAACTGCCAATTTTGTGTGTTATAGTTTTTAACTTATTAATTAGGAAGAAACATATACACTGTCAGTGGTTCTCAACCTTCTTAATGCCGCAACCCTTTATTACAGTACCTCATGCTGTGGTGACCCCCAACCATAAAATTATTTTCGTTGCTACTTCATAACTGTAATTTTGCTACTGTTATGTCTTAGGCAAACCCTGTGAAAGGGTCATTCAACGCCCAAAGAGGTTGCGACCCATAGGTTGAGAACCACTGCACTACACTGAATAAAATAATACTAGATATTCCCTTTTTCCAGGATGAATGATGCAAAGAAAAAATATATATAATTCTATAGACTTACACCCCACTAAAAATAATACTTTCTTTTTTTTAAATTTCATTTTTGAAACCCATCATGCTAGTATTTAATTCAAGAAAAGTCAGTTTCTGTTTCAAGATGGCAAATTAAGCCCATATTTAAACTTTCTTTCCTCCCCTGTTCCCAAAAAGAATCCAAAGAAATAATGTGTTTTTGTAATCTCAAACAGCAATCATAAAAAAGGAAATATACCCTCTATAGACTAGAAGACGAAAATATATTAAAGGCAAATAAAACATTAGTAAACAGCTTTGTCACTCAACATAGGAAAAGGAGGGGCTCCTTCAGAAGTTACTATATAGATTTTTTCCATCACAATCCCTGAAAAATCACCCAGCTCAGAGCAAATCCCACCAACCAAAGAAGAGGGACAATTAGAAGTTCTCAGTGGTTAGTCTCATACTTCACTGAGCTTGCTCTTTATACCAAAGAAGCTTAGGAAGAATGTTGTAGCCAGCTACTCTGTGTAGGAAGACATCTTCCTGACCAAATATAAAAATGTACTAAAAGCTAAGGTTGGTAAAATAATGCAATGATGGCACAGTAAAAAAGATCAATGAAACAAAACAAAAAGTGGGAAACAGACATGTATATCTAGGAATTTAATATGTAACAATAATGGTATTTTAACAGTGACACCAAGAAGAGTTATTCAAAAAATAATATTAAGAAAATTGGTTAACCATTTAAAAAAATGAACTTAGAAAACTACATTCTCATACACCAAAATATTCCAGAGAGATTATTTATAAAAGCTATAAACATAATAAAGGAAAATAAAAATAAAAGAAAATATTTTTATGGTCTTGAGGTAGGTGAATTATTTCTAAATTTGAAAAAACTAATAAACCCTAAGAAAAAAGACCAACAGGCTTTACTATATAAAAACTTAAAACTTATGCAATATAAATATATCATGAATAATATAAAAACATAACTAGGAAACTGGGTAAAACTATTTGCAATGTATATATGACAATCTTTTGTTATTTTTAATATGTAAAACGCTCTTATAGACAATAATAAAATAAGAATAATTAGGAGATATATAAGGCAAGTCACACCAAAAAACTCTATGAATGGTCAATATTAAAATATGTCTAAATAGTCTTAAAATGCAAATTAAAATAATCAGATACTTTTTAATTATCAGTTTTACAAAGACTATCTCTTGTGCTGAATCTAGAAGGGAAAAACCGTTCTTTTTAGGGGGCAAGATATGTCAAGATCTGACACATGCTTTTACATTCTTTAAAAGCAAATATATTTTTCTCTAGTTACTTATTCTAAAGAAATAATAAAAAATGTAGGCAAAGGTATAAGTATTAAATATTCATATTTGTTATAGTACTGAGAAACATAGAAAATATAATCAATTCATTAAGTAAGGGTACACGCATACAAAATAATATGTAGCAATTTAAAAAGCTGAGGTACGTCCAGCCAGTGTGGCTCAGTGGTTGAGCATCAATCCATGCACCAAGAGGTCGCCAGTTTGATTCCCGGTCAGAACACATGCCCACGTTGTGGGCCCGATCCCCAGTGGGAGGCATGAAGGAGGCGGCCAGTTGACGTTCTTTCTCATCAATGTTTCTCTCTCTCTCCCTCTCACTTCCTCTCTCTCTAAAATTAACAAAGAAAAAAAAAAAAGATAAATTTTGTTAAAAAAAATAAAAATAAAAAGTTGAGGTAGAAAAATAACAAGAAATATTCTATGTAGTACAGTACCAATTATGAAAAGAGATATTTATGTTGACATACAAAAGCCTAGAAGGATATACAAATACTAAATGCTAGCAATTGTTAGGAGTGGAATTACAGGGAAGAATAGAGGACAGGATCTTTCATTTTCTACATAATATAATTATGTCTTTTAAAAATATTTTATACTTTTAATAATTAACAAATAATAAATAATAAAGGTCTACCATTTGGAAAAGGAAAGAGAAGAAAAAAATATTGGCTGGAATATTAAAACAGACATCTAACTTTTTCCTACTGGCATTTTATACATCAAAGAATGCATTCTGGAAACCAATGTTACATGCTGTCCTTTCCGATTACAAGTAAGAAAAACCACTCAAGATGAAATGTTACCTGTCATTGGGGTATCAGGTGAGGTAAGTACAGTGAAAAGACTTTGCAAACTATACCAAAAAGACGTTCATGGTATTTAGGAAATTTTTCTTCTATTCTACACCTATTTCCAGACATCCTCCAAAATTAAAAATGCTCATAGGAAGACATTATAAAAGGAAATAACCTACCGTTTGAACAGGTACTGTAGAATTTATTTATTCATTCATTCATTTATTTATTTATTTATTTATTTATTTATTTATTTTAGAGTTAGCATTTATTTTTTTAATATTATTTTTCTTCAATTTTTATTAATTAATTTTTGTTATAGATGTTTCTTCTTTTTCCCCCCTAGACCCCCTTCTCCCCATCCTGCCCATCCATCCCCCTAGCATTGTTGTCTATGTCCATTGGTTATGCATACATGCATGTACATGCTTTGGTTCATCTCACCCATCTCCCCCACCTCCCTACTTTGAGGTTTGTCAGTCTAAATCATACTCCTTTCTATGTCTCTCGGTCTATTTTGTTCATCACCCCACCTTGTTCATTATATTCCACAAATAACTGAGATCATGTGGTATTTGTCTTTCTCGGATTGACTTATTTCCCTTAGCATAATACTTTCCAGGTCCCTCCATGTCATCTCAAAGGATAAGAAATCTTTCTTTCCTACAGCTGTAGAGTATTCCATTGCATATATTTACCACACAGCTTTTTTATCCACTCATCTACTGACAGACATTTGGGCTCTTTCCAGATCTTGGCAATTATAAATAGTGCTGCTATGAACATAGGGGTACATATACTCTTTCTGATTGGTGTTTCAGGCTTCTTAACATATATTCCTAGAAGTGAGATCACTGGGCCAAATGGCAATTCAATTTTTAATTTTTGGAGGAAAAACCATAGTGTTTTCCATAATAGCTGCATCAGTCTGCATTCCCACCAGCAGTGTACTAGAGTCCCCTTTTCGCCACACCCTCGCCAGAACTTCTTGTTTGATGATTTGTTGATGGCAGCCATTCTGGCTGGTGTGAGGTGATACCTCATTGTTGGTTTATTTTGCATCTCTCTGATGTTTGTTGATGTTGAGCATTTCTTCATATGTCTCTTGGCCATTTGTATGTCCTGTTTGGAGAGGTGTCTATTTAGGTCCTCTGCCCATTTTTCAATTGGATTCTCTGTCTTCCTTTTGTTAAGTTGTATGAGCACTCTATATATTTTGGAAATGAACCCCTTATTCAGCGGTTCTAATCTTGTGGGTCGTGACCCTTTGGGGGTCGCCTAAGACCATTGGAAAACACATATTTCCAATGGTCTTAGGAACCATGACACTGCTCCTCTATCTGTCTCCAGGTGGGTCCACCAACATGCAGATACACCCACATACAACACGAGGAACTGTATTAAAGGATCACGGCATTAGGAAGGTTGAGAACCACTTATCTGATGTATCATTGGTAATCATGCTCTCCCATACGGTGGGTTCCCTTTCCATTTTGATGGTTGTTTCTTTTGCTGTCCGGAAGCTTTTGAGTTTGATGCAGTCCCATGTGTTCATTTTTTCCTTTGTTTCTGTTGCCTTAGGTGATGTATCAGTGAAAATTCTGCTGCATATGACATCTGAAATTTTGTTGCCTACATTTTCTTCTAGGATTTTTATGGATGCACGAGTCACACTTACGTCTTTTATCCATTTTGAGTTTATTCTTGTGTATGGTGTAAGTTGATGGTCTAGTTTCATTTTTCTGCATGTAGCTGTCCAATTTTCCCAGCACAATTTATTAAAATTTATTTATTACTCCATTGTATGCTCTTGCGACCTTTGTCGAATATTAATTTAGCATAATGTTTTGGGTCAATTTCTGGGTTCTCTGTTCTTTTCCATTGATCTATATGCCTGTTCTTGTGCCAGAACCAGGATGTTTTGATTACAGTGGCTTTGTAGTATAACCTGATATCCGGTATTGTGATCCTACCTACTTTGTCCTTCTTTTTCAAGATTGCTGTGGCTATTGGGAGTCTTTTTCATTCTATATGAACTTTTTTTTTTTTTTTATCCTCACCCGAGGACATTTTTCCATTTTTTGTTCAGGTAGAGTGGAAGGGAGAGAGAGGAACAGAGAGAGAGAGAAAGAAACATCGATGTGAAAGGAACACATCGAGTGGCTGCCACCCGCACAACCAACGAGGGCCGGGGACAAACTGCAACCGAGGCATGCGCCCTTAGTGGGAACCGAACCCGGGTCTCTCAGGACCGCAGGCCGACGCTCTAACCGCTGAGCCAAACCAGCCAGGGCAATTTTTTTTTTTTTTTTTTTTGGTATGTGCCCCTAGCGGAAACCGAACCCAGGACTCTCTGGACCGCAGGCCTACGCTCAACCGCTGAGCCAAACTGGCTAGGGCTATATGAACTTTTGAAGTATTTGTTCAAGT